CTTTCTGGGTGAATTAATACACTAAATTAGCAGATCTGAGCATTTGTTTCATTTCTTACCTCCTATCTGCTTTTCTGAATCGCACTTTTTAAAAATTTTCTTGCTGGGCTTACAAGGAATTATATCCCAGTACGCAGGCGCCCGGGCCACACTTGACGCAAAGTGGGTAACGCAATTGGTCACGCATCTATTGGGCCTTTACCGTGCGTGTAACAATAAAAGGTGAATTTCAGAATATAATAGATTGCATTTCGGTTAGCTATCTGGCGAGCTCATTTAACTAGACAACGATAATTACTGGGTATCTGTCCACTTTAGAAAATATTTGACCCCGGTGATGACTCCACTCGGTTAATTCCCAGTCCTAATCGAGTTGCTAAGTGGATATCTGTTTCCTCGAGACGAAACAGCTCGAGAGGTTTTGATTTGAATTTGAATAACAAAGACAATTCCCACTTCGTCGCTAAAACAATCATGATGACAAACCAAAAGACTGTTTTCGTGTCATTTCCTAATTTGCTCATGTGAAGAATTATTGTTAAAGGCGAAGGTAAAGACGACCTAACACGTTGGTCAGCAGTTTCGGATCATCGTCCGCTCGATTGTCAACATATAACCTCTAGATTTGCGGTAAATATTTGACGATCGAAGAAATATAAACACAAAACTCTTGATGAGCAAACAGTAGAAACGAGAGATGAGTGGCGGTATACGAAGCAATCCTATCGAACGAAGATTCAGAAGGCGACAAACTGAAGATTATCATCAACGGGTATGTAGAAATCGTTCGTGCGATCTTTACAAAAACGGTTTGAGTGTCGGTTACAGTCGATGTTTTTAATTCAGTTAATAGTAATCACAGCTGTAAACCATTGCGTTTTTGAATTCGCTTCTACCTTTACGTAACTGTTAGTTAACTGAATGACATCGATCGTGTACTTGTTTTACTTCGTCTCGGCGAGGCGCAAACTATGATCTTTCGATATAAACATACTGTAGATCGAAGTGAATTTTAATACGGCGCACTGGCGTGAACGTCCTACATGTAGATCTCATATCGAGTTTGTATACTGTTGTATATGAAGCCAATATAATTGATTGGAACAGTTGTAAGAAAAAAAGACCAGACGGCGTTTTGCCAGGTTAAATGATATCAAATCAATTTAAGTGGTCGTCCTTCATACATGCAATATCATCCAGCAGATTTTTTAATTCACTTGCTTCCGTATTTGGTGCCTGTCAAATAGTAAAAACATTATTAATATTAGTATGTATTTATATAGGGTCAACTTATATCCGCGAGGGAAATGTGTGAGAGTAGAGACATTTTAAAAACCCTTGACTGAAGTATATTTTCACCTCATCTGTTAAATATTTACATAATTTTAATTTACTTTCAGTCATGGCAACAAAACGAATTTGGAAAACGAGTTTGTTGCTCCAAATTACGCTCAACTCTATAATCTTTGTAATTTGATGTACTTGTTAATTTTAGCTGCAAAATGTCAAGCCATTCCTTGATATTACACCACCAAAAGAACATCAACACCTTCAGTTATCTGTAAAAAAGCTACAGGTAAGGCACTTTAATTTTTTGTTAGCGGAAATGTCTTAATAACACTTTGTCCAATATTCAGAAATGTACTTGCCTTTTTATTACATAAGACTGAGAAAGAGAAATATAACTGGAATATGGTTTAACTGAGCGGAACTTTAACGAATTAGTTTTTTTGCATCCTAACCTAAGCGATGATGGTATAATTGAGGCCTATGCACAGAGCATCTATCATGACAGAGTTTTCTAACAAATTCAAGTTCTAGAAGTATCTGAATTTCTTCTGATTCTATTTTTAATTGTTCCACAGATGCAGCAGGAAAGACAGGCTGCCATTGATCGACAGAATGAAGTGATTCTTTCAGCACTGATGAAAATCAAACAGTCACCTGCCAGAGTAGACCATTGGAAAAAGGACTGGAAACCAAGGTTTGTTAATTAACTAAATGTTACAGAACTATGGACTGACCGACTCACAAGTGACTGTGACTTTGAACGTCTGACTGACGGACTGATTTAACAACAGACTGTTGACTGATTGACTCACTGAGTGAGCGGCTGACTGGTAACACGCCGGCTGACGTTCTTAGGGCATCGACGTCACGCGCTCCTTCGTAGCGGTTCTGGTTGCGGTTAGAGAGAAGGCGGGGGGGGGGGGGAGGCTGCATGAGGAGCCAAAAGAACGTCTGCGTGGGAGGCTACAGCTGACTGACTGATCGAACGATGGACTAAAGGCAGACTGGCTAACTTATTGAACGACGTATATACTTCAGGCTGGCGGACTGAATGCTCATTGTTGAACGAAGTACAGCAGGCTGACTGCGACTGGCTGACTGATTTTACAAAGTACCACAGGCTGGACTGACTAGGGAGCTTCAGCCTAGTAGCATTGACGACGGCGACGGCAGAGAAAATAGTCACTTTTAAAAGGAATTCGTGTGTTTTTCAATGGCGTTTTTCACTGAAAATGAATTCGCTGAAAATGTCAAATGAACGCGAATTTCCCTTCAGTTGATTTCTTGAGGATCTGTCGAACAATTAGGACCGCACTCAAATTTAGAAAGAGAAAGAAAAATTCATCGTTGGGTGTTTACGTCCTCCATAAAACGTGAAATAAGGCATTTTCGCGTCGTAGTCTTGTAGGGACGGCAAAGAAATGTTCAAAAACATGTCATGCACATGCAAAGTTGTTGTTTCGCTCTTCAAACCTATTGCTTTTTTCCGTTCTCGTTGCTGTCGCCGACGTCGTTGCTAAAGACGGAGTGCAGCCTGACTAACTGACTGACTTCTGCTGCTTGGACGATTGTGTCCGCAGGTTGACTTGCTCACTGATTGAACGACGGATAGAAGGCCAACCAGTGGCTTAGTGACTGTGTTTAACTCAGTGACTTACTGCAGGTCTGACAAGTTTTCGACCAAGGACCCGTTCACCTTGCTGCGTTTTCGTTTAAAAACGGGTACGTTTAGATGCGTTTAGACCTTACTTTCACGTCACACTAATACGCTGACCATTTTATCGAAAACCTGTCGATTTGAAACGCTCTTGAAAGTGGATCAAAACGAGAACGCATACATATCGTATTAGCGTGAACGGTCGAAAAAATTAAATGTAACTCGAAAATTCCCCACCCACGCGCGACTTAACTGTTCTAATGGTCCGCCCCTAAATGAATGAGTGAACCGTTTAAACCCTAATATCAAAATTGAGATTCTCATTTACTGGCCTATACTTTTTCAATAGAAGTAGTGAGGAGAATTTGTTGTAATATCAATTAGACTCATCTTCGTTGATCATGCATTCAATTCTCATGTCCACTCTGTTTTACAAAGCATTGGTATTACAAGGAGAAATTTGATGCTGATCACTCTTAGGGCTGAAAGGGTTAAACAAAGATTGATTGTGTAGGTGATTTACGTTTCTCTCCGACTCCGGCAGAGATTGACCAGAATGGCATGAGACATTCGGCATGATTTTAAAATGTATCGCCCCATATAAGAGAATCCATTCTGGATTCCGAGCCGTGGATTCTGGATTCTTTGTCAATGGAACTTAGATTCCGGAGTCGAATCGTTGGTGAAATTTCTTGAGCTGGATTCCGGATTCCAAAGCCTGGGATTCCAGATTCCAGAAGCAAAACTTCGTCACATTCCGGTTTTCACAAGCAACATTTTCTGGATTCCGGAATCCGTATTCCCTTACGTGGGGCGAAATGTGGCTACAAGACTTACCTGACCGAAAATTAAAAGCGGGTTTTGTTTCTCTTTTAGCGATGATAGGTTGAAACGATTCAGAGAGAGAAAGCAGAGAAGGATACGAGTGGAAAATCAGGTTTGCACAGACACATTTTGAATAGTGATTTACGTCTTCAAAATGCATGCTGAAATAACGGATCACGTGTCATTGATTGCCCATGTAACGGCTACCAGCCCATCACTCGGTGCGCACGCAACAGCATAGGGCGGGTTTAACCATATTGTAAAGCCCTTGACTTTTGATTGATCTTAATTTTGTGGATTAGCCTGCGAATACAGCTGTCTCTCATCGCTCGTCGCCCTCTACGCTACTCAGTAGTGGCGGTTCAACCCGATATATCTAGTGTCAATTGTTTGAACTGTTTTCGACATTACGACTTAACGGATAAATACATATCGTTCCGCTGGATAAAATGTTATAATAAACCTTATTGTGAAATCGCTGAAGATGTTGACTTAGCGAGTCTGAGAGAATTTGTAGCGGCCTTCCTGTTGCAACTCTTTAAGCGGTCTTTGTCTCTTCCCCATAGGGTCCCAGAAGGCTGCTGTGTTAGTGCACAATTAGAAAGCATGATCCGTTTCTTCTCCTAGAGGCCATTTCACCGAGTGCTGCAAAAGAAGTCTCTGTGCCGGAGTAGAGAGGAGTTATGCTTTCCACAAAATGTACTACCACGCCGGCTTTCTGGGCTATGATACTCTGTGGAGATCTTTTGTGGCTTTATTTGATGTCTTGATTGTATAATTGCCCTCTAACTTTGTCTCCTACTTCCACTGTGCAGAAACAACAGGAAAGACTAAGAAACATTCAGCCGTACTATGACGTTGATGAGTGGGTGAGTTTCATTTATACTTACTTTTTCTGTCGTGACACGAAAGAGAACTCCCTTTGTAGCTATTTACTTTGTAACTGTGACTTTGAGTAGAGAGGGATACTGAAAGTTCAGTATTGCTAGAAAGAGAACTTTTCAAATTCGGACCAGTAGCGTTCATTTATGAGTACGCGTTGCATGGAACATTTTAAAACATTGACAAAACCTCTTTACAGAAACTTGGCGCTTTACTTTTCTGTTAATTTAGGTCTTTAAGTGAACAGTTTGACTTTAGACTTACAGCATGAACCGCGTTTAACTAAAAGCTGGTAGAAAAAGAATGTAGCTCTTGACTAGTTATCTTTACAGGAAAAGAGGTTGTGCTGTAATGATCTCTTAAACCGATCATTTATAAGCGCCTTACTCGAACAATAAGTGCGTTAGTGTTGCAAGCGTCCGTAAGGCGGTACCAGCTGAGTTTCTTTCATACTTGTAAGACCAGGTTCGCTACTAGGGGCCAGATATGGCCTAACAAGTTCTTGACTTTCAACTTGCAATTGTTTTTAGGAAAAAGATTTCAAAAAGCACCAGTACTATTTGTGGATGTTAGATGGAGGAACAAAAGACTACGAGGAAATTGAAGATGAAGACGAAGAGGTACTTTAAAGCGTTCGTTTTTAAACATTTTTCATAAAGCAAAAGCCAAGACTTTGGCTAACGAATCACAACAGACGTGGACAAACCAGTTCAGATCTTGGTTGAGCAAAAACACTGCTTATGGCCCGATAATTAACTTTCCCGGAAAGCTGTATGAAGTTAATGTTGGTACTTGTGTTTACGTGTAAGGTAGAGGTTTGGATAGTTTTACATTGAAAACAAAACAAAATAGACGGGTGTGTTAACTAGGACACGTGCTTTTATTCTTTAGATTTGGATTTGAATATTTCGGATTTCGGGCCCGAAAACTAACAGGGACTTTCGAGAAACGGGTCCTTGTCATTTGACCAAGCGCGCGTAAACACTTCAACTAAGTCACTTTGACCTTCTTCTGACTAGCTTATTTGGAAGCTTTAGCAACCAAAACGGCTACATAGCAACGACAGCAACGTAGCCTGCGTAGCAAGGGATTCCGTGCGAGTTCGTCAAGAAAGTCGGGACGCGAGCTATTCTCCAACTTTTGCGCAATAACTCGTTCGGAAACGCTTGCTACACAGGCTAACAGGAACTAAACACTTTTTGGTTCACAGTCAGCTTTTTTTTTTTCAATCTTCGCAACTGGTTACGATCCGTGAGAATTCAATTTATGAGAATTCGCCATAAGTTGAGCGAGCGAGTTGGAATAATCGCAGTAATGTTAAAAGCCACAGGTTTTATTACATGATAACTAACACTTTTGCTCAGTACCATTTTGGACATGGTTCAGTATTACATGCCCCTATTAGCTGTGTATGAGCATGTTTTGACGCATAGAGGTATTTCTCAACAAAGGTCTTTTTAATAAGAAGTTTCGCAAGAGAGTTCAGCTTGGTTTTTCTTTTAGTTCGGCCGATATAGCTTTTCTAACATGATACGATGGGTGTTGAAATTTACAGGAAGATGAAAGCGACGAAGACAAACTTCCTCCAGTTGTAAGTACCAAATTTCAAACTGCCTCAGTTGTAAATTTAGTTACTACGCTTTTCAAAACAAAAAAGCGAATTGTGAAGTTCAAAAACCAACTGACGCTGGAGTTTTTCGCTGTCGTCAATTATCTTAGCGGATCTCTTAGGAAACAGAAGTTTACTTCAACGGGTTCAAAAGGTCATGCTTTGTGATTTGATTGGTGGATTTCGATCTATTTTGTGTGTTTTTGTGTGTCAGGGTTCTTTGCTTGTGATCATAATTATGATTGAAGGCAGCGAAAAACGCAATTGTAAAGCGGACTTTTGAACTTCAGAGTTCGCGTGTTTGTGAAAAGCGCAGTAAAGCCGTCCTTACAAATACGCCCCTGTCAAAGTCATGCGTCCATCACAAATACGCCCTCTTCCCCAGAGCCACTCAATTTGACACCTTCCCCTTCATGTCATGCCAAGAAACGGCGGGCTCTGGGGACGTCATGTATGAAAACAACGATATTCATTGCTGGTTTGCAACCACGTGACAAGGCGTCCACGCTGGTGCACAAAACAATACAATTTTTTTTCGAGAATTTGTATGAACAAAGAGTTAGTTCCCACCGAAAGAAAACACTCTTAACCAACACGGTCGCCGTCAAGTCAGCTGCAAGGCAAGGCAGCGATTCTGTCAACTACCCTCTTGATCAGTTTTCCTGCTGAGAATGGGCCTGATCTGCGGTTATTATACTGTCAAATGCATGAATGTGAACACCCGGAGCTAAGTGATTGGCGGTATTCCTAACGTTTTCACTAATCTTTCTGGAACCAAGGAGACTGCCGCCAACTAATAGAAGAGATTCATCCCGACATGTATGTAAAGTGAGCCCACCTAGATTGTTCATTATCCTGTTGTTTACGGTCGCTTTCGTCCTGATTTCAGCCCAACTCTAGCCCCAGTCCAGATGGCGAGAAAGACGCCGCGAAGAAGAAGAAAGAGGAATCTGTGAAGCTGCCTCCTATTGATGGCAAAAAGAAGAAAGAAGGCAGTAAGAAGAAAGATGAGTATCCTGAACATGTTGTTATTATGGACGCCGAGGACATGAACAAAGCAATTGAAGGTGCTTACGGATAATATTATTAATTCAGTTTTTGTCCCTTAACGTCTTCTTATGTGTAATACAGGTCGAAAGTATTTACTTGATTAGGGGTGATAGTAGCGAAACTGCACCTCACCCTCCCTCCCAAACTATCATCAAACTGCCATTCATTGCAGATTCACAATCTTGCATTTTTGAAAAATTGACTGCGTTGTTGTAAAATCGTTAAGATAATTATTAACATTTTTAGTTCCTTTAATTATTGTTCCTTAGAAAATGACAAGGCAAAGATCCTCGAAATCCTGGGAAGAGTGTCTGAAAAGAAGAAGTTGGATAAATTAAAACAGAAATACAAAGAACTTTACGACAAGGTCAGGAAAATTAAACTCTTATATCGTTAATTAGAAACGTGATTGATGGACTAACACAAACAATTCACTTAAGAAGTTTGTTTGTATTGTTAGTTGTTGGGATGTCTGTTGCTCCCTCGTTGTTAACTAATGAACCAGCTGGTTTGTTTGACTGTCTTTTATTTTGTTCATACCAAAAAGGATTTAATGGAAGAAGTCAAGGCTAAACTTGACGAAGAGATGCAGGACACATTAGACTCCCTTGGATGTGGAGTAGAAGAGGATGCCACTAAACTATATGAGGCGATGAAAGTAAGACTTTTTCTCTTAACTTGGTTAAACTTTGGGTGTATTTAGATGTTACGAGATAAAGGTAAAGAGTCCTTATTTTACGTCGGTAGCACTGGAAAATTAATGGATATCTGACCGTGAACAAACCAGAGGCAGACGGCGGCTCATTTTACCCCTCTCTCTCCGTCAGTGCTCCGTTTTACGGGTATTGAAAGCTACTTCAAGCTACAAGGAAAGGAAAGAAGTCGAAAGGGGGATTTGAGGTCACTCCTGGGAATCAAACTCGGCACCCTCCGCACAGAAGGCCGCGCACTAACGAACTTTACTAATCCTTCCTCCTGTTCATTTCCTGGAGACACTGTCTAAAGTCGTTAGCCAAATCTTTGTACCTTTCAGGGAATAGGCACCGACGAAGACATATTGATCGAAATTTTGTGTACAAGAACAAATTCGGTAAGTTGAAAGCTAAGTGGCTACTCTTTATTATCATGGAGCAGAAAAATGCTCTGTTCAGTTTATAGTGGAAGTGTAATTAGCTGCTCTCGCTTACAGTTTACAGGCAATACTCTCAATAACTTGAACCAAATAACACAAATACAACGAAACAGGATTAAAACCCCCAACTTGCATGAGTCAACGAGATGGCTATTTAAAAGATGACCGAGGATTTGAATTTAGCACAGCTCCAGCGAGTAGACTGAGCGAAACTTGAACTCAGGACCGCTGGGTGGCGACTTCGACGTGCTGATTTCTCAACCACGCTACCTCTTTTTGCAGGAGCAAGAAATAGCCAAATTATTTTTAATTTTATTGACTTTCTTACGTAAGCTAATCTCAAGCATTTTTGCCAGCATTTTAACTGCTTTTCTCCGTTTCCAGGAACTTCACGATATTCGAGCTGCTTACAGCAAAAGTAAGACTTTTTACGTATGTTACATATATTTTAAGAGCCAGTGACATAAAGGGTCCTTGTACTGACTCTTTTTCTGTTTCTGTTTGTGGCAGAATACGAGAATTCACTGGAGACGGACCTAAAAGGAGACACGAGTGGCGACCTTGAGACTTTACTGGTGGAGCTCAGTAAGGTAGTGATCACCCTTATAATGGCTTTTATAATGGCTTTTATGTTACTAGCTTGTGCAAGACAGAAAACGTTCTGTTTAACCGGCCCGCTTTAATTCATTATGTGTATGAAAAATATAGAATCTTGACTGAATTCATTATAATTTTCTTTTTCGAAGACTAAACATTTTCAATTGTCATAATAAGTCACTGAAATCATTGAACATAAAATGTGTATTTTGTTTCTTATTTTGAAAATATAGAATAGTCTTGACTTAATCCATTATAACCGGGCATACTTGCTTATTTTTTCGCACCAAAAGGGGGCAATTATTTCAAATATTACCAACTGGAAGTTGTTCCCTAAATATTTTGTTTTATTTTCCCTTTAAATCAAAAAATAATCATGTCAAATAAACTGAACATGGGCTTTTTAAGTGGTCCAAATTTAGTTCCTTGATTAATATTCAGAGCTTGAATCGTCAGATGGCGAGATTGCAGGGGAGGGGCGATTATTCGAGGGAGGCGATTAATTAAAGTATTTCCGTTAAAGAGGGGCGATTATTCGAAGGAGGCGATTAATCGAGGGACGGCTATTATTCGAGGAAATACGGTAGCTATTATACTACAAGCCTGCTGCATCATGGAAGCATTACAAAAACAGTAACTGGTCAAGGCTTCTCTCATTTCGTTTCAACAGATCTTTTTCATGACTTACGTTCTTTTTAATCAGTTTATAAGGCTTTAATTTAATTTGTAAAGAATAGCAAACAAAAGAACCTATTTGTTTCACTCAATTTTAATAGGGTCAGAGAGATGAATCTACGAAGGTTGACAAGGAAATGGCTAAGGCAGATGCAAAAGAAATTATGGAGGTATTTTAACGCCCTTTGCTTGTTACCGACTAAGTGGCGGAAGTATTTTCTCTTTCTCTCGATCGAAAAACTCGAGAAAATGTAACAAACGCATTTTGGACCTTTAAATAATGCACATCAGTGAAATACGTGCGTAGGGCTTAGGCCCTATTCGTCGAACACTAACTACTAAAAGTGATTGACGTGCACTCCAATGAGCCAATGAGTTTCACAAGGTTGGATCTTTTGCTGGGTTTTGTAGTGGGAAGCAATCAGTTGTATAGCTACTTCCCCACATTTGTTTCGCGAATGAAACACGTTTATCACATGGCTACCCCCAGCTGTATATGTGGTTGTACCTGTTGTTTATACACGTATTTAATAAGTAGTTCTTTGAGAATCGAACGACCAGGAACGAGACGTCTGCGTTCGCAGGCTAAGTGAGCCAATGTAAAGTAACGCCGTTCCTCGTCTAAAAATTGGGACGGCTAAGACTTAAACTTACCTATATCCCAAGTCTAATACGTCATGTAAAGACCAACAGCGTTAACCACGTTGTCAGGTGGTTGTACTTGATATGGTGTTAGATTAGGAGAAGAGTATATATGGTCGAGTATCAGGCCGCATATTGGAAGGTTAACAAGTTGACAATTCCATTACATAACTCTAATCTGGTTATTCTCTACCAGGCTGGTGTGGCCAGTTGGGGAACTGACGAAGGCAAGTTCATTCGCATATTCACTCAAAGAAGCAGACCACAACTTGCTGCAACATTCCCGGAATACAAGGCAGTAAGTTTTAAACTTAGGACAACTTTAAATTCACGGGGAGAATGGGGAAATTTGGATGGTGGTAATGTAACCAATTTGAAATTAATTTTTCCGCATTCCGAGTACACGCAAGTGCTCTCCGCTTGGCACAAAGTAATTCCTGTTCTCTTGCTGTTTGTCAGTTAACCAAAAAGGATATCGCAGAATCAATCGACAGCGAAATGGATGGGGACCTACAGAAAGCCTTTCTTACGTTAGGTAAGTATCCATAAGAAAGGCTTCCTACTTCCTCCTCTCATTGTATGAAAGGGGTTTGCACGGATCATGAAGAAAAGTCATGAAATTTAAGAATTTCATTTTCTAGGCCTGGAAAATATAGAATTTAACTGTCGATCATGGAAAGTCACGGAAAATTGAAGTTATGTTTGGTAGATTTAGTTACCTTGCAGATGTCAAACATGGAAAGAAAAAAAGTAAGCTGGAGACAAAAAATTAATCAGGGTGAACGGCACGTGCTTTGGTGGACACCAGACTTTGTGTCTGTTGAACTGAGTTAGGTAAAAATCTCCAAAGACAAGAAAAGTTTTGAAAATTTTGAAAGTGACCGTTAACCTAAGGCACTGGAAACCTGGAAAAGTTCCTGGAAAAAATAATTGAAAGTCGTGGAATTTGAAGAGCCCGAAAGAGTACGAATCTTAGTGTACAAATTGACCTTGTTCACTTCAGTTTTGTTGCCCCAATGTACATTGTTCAAGTATTCTCGTTAAAAATATATTCTTCCTTTTTACCATTAATTATTACATTTTTCTTCATCAGTAAAATGCGTGCGGGATCCAACTAGCTTTCATTCGGACAAACTACACAAGGCCCTACAAGACGGTGACACAAAAACTGTGGCACGGATCATTCTCAACAAAAATAAGGTAAATATTAGGCTTGCCAATATCTCTTGCTTCCTTCTCTTTTGCGATTACTTATTGCTTGTAGTAAAGCAGCTTTTTTCTTCTCTTATAAGACGTTGATTAAAACCCGTAGGTAGCAACATTTTATCTTAAAATAGCTGGTTATTTGCAGCTGCTGCGCAACGAACAGTTCCTTCAATCCGCTGACTATTTCCTTTGTTGTCTCAGGGGCAGATTGATGAGCTTTTGGCAGCATATAAGAAAGCTCACAAAGTAGAACTTGCAGATGAAATTGACAAGAAATGCAAAGGAGACTTAAAGGCGCTTTTACTTGCCAAGCTAGGAAAAAATGGTGAGTTTCAAAACCGTTACTGTTGGACTGTTAGGGCGCATGCGGGTTCCGCGTTTATCTCCTGATAAGAGAGACGGTAAACTAGTCAGGATTCTAGTTGGTGTTGTTGGGCCTTTCGCCCGAACTAGTTGTATGCGTTTCCCTTTCTTTTTGAGGTCCAAGCCCCCAGGAATAACGTGTATGTTAAAGTCTGAGGGTTTTACACCCAGACGCCCATTAGTGGGCTATTCTCTTTCTAAGTCACTTGATAACAGCTTCGAATTTCGAGAGTTAGACCTCGATTAATTCAATCAGGTGCCTGAATTATGTCGAATCACACTCAAGAATGACGAGATCAGGTTATGTATTCAGTCGACCCTCTCTGTCTCTCCCTTTACAACGGTCCCCTCGGAAACAGAGGTTGATAATTGGCTGTTCTGAGAAAGTGGCCTTTAGTAGTGAGGTGCTCCAAGCAGATGTTCGATTCTACACTTGCATGCATGTTACCGAAAAAAATAATCATGCAACCTATAATCGAGTTAAGAAATATCGCTAGTATACGCCCTCTTGCGACTCATTAATTTTGTTTGTTTGTTTGTTTGTTTGTTTTTTTTTTGTTTCACTCAGGTAAAGGGAAAGAAAAGGCCAAGAAGCAGCAGAAGGTAAATATGATTTGTTGTACATGTAGCTGTCTTTTGTTTGTTTGTTTTTTTCCTTTTTTTGTGCGCTTTCACTGACCGATTTGTTTTCCAGCCTGCAGAGAAACCCGCTGACAGGGCCAAGAAAGACGCAGCGAAAGATAAGGCGAAAACCAAACCTTCAGCAGCAACTCAGGAGAACAAGAAGACAGATAAAAATGCAGAAAAGAAAGCAAAAGAAGAGGAAGCTGCCCTTGAAAAGGACGCTGACGAACTGCATAAGGCAATTGAAGGTAGATATGTTTTTCTTCATTGCATAACGAGAACCACTTTTTGTTGGAAATTTGGACACCGAGTTTGCTCATCAATTGTTTGTCAACCTGCAAGCTGATGACTGAAGGTGCAGATTACTTCCGTCATATCAGATTGGTTTTCTTCAACTATCCTTCAACTGACATTAATTGTCGATCGAAGTCATTTGTACTAACTTTATCAGATAGCACACAACGCTATAATTTAGTGTTGTCTTTAGTTCCTCTCGTATTGGGCTGAATTATTTTTCATGTTGAAATTAATAGCAATTCTGTTCTTCATAGGTGAAAACAAGGCCCAGATTGTGGATATTCTCGCGAAAAACTCTGCGAATAAGTCAAAGCTACAGAAGCTTCAAGACAAGTACAAGAAAAAACACGATAAGGTAGCGGTAGCGGTTTTCTTTATTTCTTACCCCTCTCTGTTGATCGCGTTGCATTATGCCGTCGATTTCTTTGGCACTCAAACAATTTTAAGCGTTGAAAAACTTGAAATGTTAAAATTTTATCGCCACTCTTTTTAGAAAACTTCGAGTTTTATTTTACAGTTGTGAGTTGGATCACTGTTTCGCTTTGTCACGTGATCTCCAGTAAAGAAAGCACCAGATTGATTAAGAGAACGTAGCGGAACTAAGATTATATAATTTCGATTTTTTTCTTTGTGAAATTCCATATGCAATTTATACCTTGAAATTCACAGTATTTAAACATTTTTGTAATGAGGCATGATTTTGTTTATGTTGGCATTTTTGCCATAAAATAATAAAGGGTTTTTTATTTACAGGATTTACTTGAAGCCATCAAACCTATACTAGATGAAGATTTACAAGAAGCTGTTGAATCTCTGTTAATGGAGAATGTAGAACATGACGCCAAGAGTCTCTATATGGCAACGAAGGTGATGTAGACTCTGTGCCATGTATTGAAAGTTACGCATTCGCGTTTCTAGCTATGTTGACGTCAACGAAGACGTGACATAGTTTGCCTAGCAGCCGCATGGGCCGAATTTATACTACAGATGAATTATCCCTCTAAGACGAATTATCCGTCTGAGATGGATAAATCGTCTAGATATAAATTCAGTGTTCAGACGAATTTTGGCCCCAAATTCGTCTGCACTTGATTCGTGAAGAAAGGGAAGAATTCGAGACGAATTTGAGGCCAAAATTCGTCTAAACACTGAATTTATATCTAGACGATTTGTCCGTCTCAGACGGATAACTCGTCTGTAGTATACATTCGGCCATCAAGGCTGGTTTTCCGCACTAGCGACGAATTCGTAGTTGGACTCGTAAGTGGAGTAGTAAGAGCGCCTATGACCAAGTGAAAATCAAAATCAATTTTTATATATATTGTAAGTGGTGCCATAAGCGCGACGGAATCGGAATCGTAAGAATCAGAATGTTTCCATTTTCTTCCGACTCCGTTTATAACTTTGTCGCTTACGATCTAGTGTCTGAAAACCAGTTTGTCGCGCCGCAACTATAAGCGGAAGAATAAACCAATCACAATGCTCCTTCCTACCCCTAATGATTGGTTCTTTTTTTTTCTCCCGATCTGCTTGCGACACGGACAACCCGGTTTGCGATGAAGTCGTAAGCGGACGTTTTTTTTTTTTTTTTTATAGGTAATAGATGTAAAAAAGCTGTTCTCTTTGATTACGATTCGAAATCCGACTCTGTCACCACAGAAAATCAGCTTTCAGTTATTGTTTCGCTGAACTACAATACGAAACACGTAAGCAGTACACGATGTAAACGAAAATGCTTAACTGATGTTTCAAATCATGTTCCTTTTTCAGGGGCTGGGAACTGACGAAGATGCGCTGATCGAAATCCTTTGTACGAGAAGTAACCCTGTAAGTTTTCTTTGCGATTTCAACGTAGTGTATTTGTGTTCGTTTTTGACCTTTCATTATTTTTTTTTTTTCGCCTCAGCGACTCAAAGAAATCAACTCAGCATACAGTAAAAGTAAGTGCTTAAATTTTATTTTCTAAGATATTCTTAAAGCTCGTTCTAACATTTACAATGTTTTCACATTTCCTGTTGAGAGATGTCAAGACCATACCTTGTGAATCAGTCTAAACCGTCCCTTTCTGAACATCAATTGATAATTATGTTTGTCAAAAAAGATGAAAAAAGATTAGGTAATAGAGAGCGGATCGGACGGTTTCAACGGATCGAAAACAGAATAAACATCTAGACAATGTTAAGGCAACGTTCTTATCGATCTGTATGCCGAGATTAAACTCTTCTCCCTGTGTCAATCGTGGAAGAGTGGAACGTAAGCTGCGTCGTAGACGTAATTTAACCTCGGTTAGTAACGTCTGCGAAGCAGCGCACAGGGTCCAGAGGAGATGCGTTTGTTGTTAGAACATCAAAACCCGTCGAAAACCTCTGAAAAAATGGGTTATTTTGATCGCGTTACAGTTTCGTTACACATTCTATAGACCGCAAACCAAGAGACTGAGGGCTCGCAAGATCGGCTTACAGTATAAAATACGGACTTGTCCTTTCTTTTACTTGGCACTTCGTGCCTCGGTCGCCCTTCGGGCGACGTGCCGTGCGCCAGCGAGGATATGGCTTGCGGTTGTTGATTTTCAAAAGTCGATCTAGGTCAGATAAGAATCGAAGAAATCGTTTATAGTAGATTTATAAAGATTCCATTGGGCAAACTCCTCTGGACCCTGTGAGCAGCGCCGAGATCCTCGGTCTGGGACCCCAACGGATTAAACGACTTACCGGAAGTGCTTTTCGAATTTCCTTTCATCCTGAATGGCAAATCGATAATGGCTTTTTCAACAGACCAATCATGGCGCGTACTCAAATCCTGGTACACAGGTGGGGGCACAGAACAAGGATTTCGGGCGGGCCGGAAGCTCTAAGAACCGCTCACAAGATTGATTTAGAAAACAATAGATTGCCCTAACCCAAACAAAACTAACAATGAACCCCAACTCTGAAACAAAAGAGCTTCGTGCCAACAAAAACCTATCAAATTAGAGGTTCTAAAGAGGTTCTGGCCAACAGAGGATTTCGGCGCTGTTTCGCAGACGGACCTAACCAGAGTTTTATTTCGTCGGGTGTGCAGGCTAAGTGGAAAGTAGTAATAGTGAAACTTTATACGTGGTCTTTATTCATAAGATCACATTGTGAGGAGTTGAACATTCAAATGAACCTTTAAAGCAGTACTTCTGCGTAGCACTTGATGTTATGCTGTATGGATGAGACCATGATATTTCTTTCCCACAGTGTATGGGAACTCATTGGAAGAAGACTTGAAGGGCGACACGAGCGGTGATTTTGAGACCTTACTTGTAACTCTAAGTAAGGTTAGTGCGAACATGACGTCTTCAGCTGCTAGCAGAACTATTCTTGTTTCATGTATTAACTAATGAAAATGAAACTAAGGCTACTTTTTGGCCGGTTGAAAATTCGTTTGTTTAGGTGTTCTGTCCAGACGGAACCACCCTAACCGTACGAAAATTTGAACGCTAAAATCGAGGTCAAATTTTTGACCGGTACTGTCGAAAATTTGAACGGTAAGTTGTGAATACCATGTCCGGCTAAATTTTTGTTCCGCAACGGTGTAGTTGCCTAGATACTTGGCTACACAACTGGAAAAAAAGGAGGATTGCAAACAGAGAATTGCGAACATGGATTTACGAGTCCTGCTGTTACTCGCTTTGCTTGGAAATATTACGATTCGACAGTTCCATGAGAACGGCGCAAAAATATTGAACGGTTCCGTGTGAACAAAGTGTCCGGTCAACTTTTTCAAACGGTTTAAAATTCGACCAGTACCGCGTGGACGTAACATAACCCTTATTATGTTTTAGGGTCAGAGAGACGAATCTACCAAAGTAGACAAGGAACTGGCCAAAACTGATGCTAAGGAACTACATGAGGTAGAACATATTTTCAGTTTTTGTTTGCTTAATTTGGTTTTGTTTTGATATTACAGTAGCCCAGTGGTCAAAGCTAACCAATCTGATTACAGGAAGCCATTCAGAATTCTAAGATCAAACCACCAATTGGATTTGCCACTTTTGGTTGAAATCCGTTGTTCGCTTCATGTGTTGCACCTTTCAATTAATTTGAGTAGGTTATTATTTTCAATAAATTGAAGAGCAAGTTACAGAGGTGAAACGGGGGATCATTATTACGAATAATAACCTACTGTACGATTTAATTCAGGCCACAATAATGACCAACTCCTCGGCCTTCTTAAAAATTACAACCTCTCGCTACGCGTTCGGTCATCATTGTAAATATCTTGTACGTAATCAGCTGCATCCTCTGAGTTGTTTACGTTCCCTAATGCTAACAACTTTAGTCGTTCCTCGGGATACTTTTTAATAAACTAAAACTGCATTTCTTCCTTGAAAATACTGTCATGTACCATTTGCGTAACGATGTACTGAAATCACTTCATTTCTCAGGCTGGTGTGGCGAGTTGGGGAACTGATGAAGGAAAGTTCATTCGTATCTTCACTCAAAGAAGCAGACCACAGCTGGCTGCAACGTTCCCGGAGTACAAGAAGGTGATTATTTTTGCAATCTAGATCCCATAAAGTCCAAAGCCAGTTCTGTCGGTCAACAGTCAATTATGCCGTATTTCGCGGTGTGCAGTAGTGATCTCAGCTCATACAAGATTATTTTGAAAACAAAACTCAGATATTCAATGATCGGAGAAATAAATTTTGCATCTGATGCCCGGACTCTTTTTTTCATCGAATAGATCATGAGATAACAAAGCACAGTTTATTTAGTCTCATTATAAATGACTCAATGCTTTTTGTTTGTTTGTTTGTTTTTTATTTCGTTTATCAGCTAACCAATAAAGACATCACAGACTCAATTGATGCTGAAATGGATGGAGACCTACAAAAAGCTTTCATGACTTTAGGTGGGCGCAATATTTTTGTAATCCAATATTTTTGAACACAGAGATCACTTTCTCTTGTTCAACATTATGTGTAAAAAATACAATCAAAGCAAATTTTCCCTCACAATTGGAGGATCTTAAAGAATGGACGAAATCGCCAGTAAATTAACAAATTAAACAGAAATAAATTAAGCAACAGAACGGGAATGTCAGTTGACGAAGGGAAAGCGCGCGGAAAGGACCAGACGCGATTCTGGTGTCCAATTTGCCGCTCTGCCATTGGTCAAGCCAGTTGTTTGATTTGCGCGCGTTGACGTTCCCGTTCTATTGCTAAATTAATAATTTTAAGGAGCTATGTCACGAGCATATTTCAGTTTTAAGTCAATTCCGTGCTGACGTCATTAGTTAGTGTCTTTACTCATACTCAAAATGCTCCGTTAGAGATATGGAGAGGGTATCAAACAAACTTCATCATCAGGGAGCACTAACCATGATAATTATGGGGGTGATTTTTGCAGGCCTAGCGTTAAAACTTGAAAAAGTTGGCCCGAAATCAAATTTCAAATGCTTTGTTTTCGAATTTCAATCCATGTCCATCTTCGCCATTCGTTGAAAAAGACGACAGGAAACAGTCTTAATGCCCCAATATAGTCTGAAATAACAGTACACAATCATGATCATTTTTGGAATTCAATTGATGCGAAAAACGTTTTAAGCTTTTTAAAACGATAGCAAATTGGTAGACGTAGCCCCTTTCAGACTAATATAATCAACATCGTGTTGTGTTGCAGTTAAATGCAGCCGTGATCAAACAAGTTTCCGCGTGGAGAAACTTCAAAAGGCTCTGAAAGAGGGAGACACAAAAGCTGTGGCAGCCGTTATCCTCACCAAAAATAAGGTAATTACCTATTTAACAGTTGCGTTTACTCTTTTTCAATCTTTAGATTAGGCGTTAGATTGTGAACAGAAAGAGTGACTTGACGCATCACGAGCGGACCCGATTTCGAGCATACTGGAACCAATGTTTCCTTTCCAGTCACAGACTATTCTTATTATGTCTTAAATTGCACGGAAACACAGCTTATTGGTTGAAATAAGATTGTGTGACAGTGCTCTAGGGCTTACTATCTCTTCATAAATCTGTTATATTCATGTGAAAGTTTGTGAATTTATTGGATGGGCAATCAGCACTGCGAATGACGACCTACTATCTGACCGCTTGAAACAAGCTGTTGGTACGCACCCTCCTAAGATATTACATGAGTTCGTGTCTGACTGAGGTTTTTCATCCAAGGCGGAAATTGATGAACTTTCTGCCGCATACAAGAAGGCTCATAAAGTGGACCTTGCAGACGAAGTTGATAAAAAATGTAAAGGCGATGTGAAAACCCTTATACTTGCCAAGCTTGGGCGAGGTGAGTCTTATCCGTAATAACATATTGACAGCAATAATAATAAACAAACCGATCTCTTTTCAGTATGCATTCTAAACGTCTTGCTTGTGCAATATATGACTACCGAGCGTCCACGTATAGAAATATTTCTTCTTAGGCGTCAAGTATCTTCTCTGAACACGGGAGACATGAAAGGAGCGATAGACTGTTCTTTGTCTTGGTTGTCTTTGCCCACACGTTTCAGACAGGTTAAAAGTTACAGCTTAGTGAATCGTTGGCTGTCTAACAAAGTCGTGTGGCATAGGTTAGACATGGGAAGCAATTTGTGATATTTGTGATAGTAATCCCTCTTTTTTTGTCAGCGTCCTCCTGAATAAAAGAAAGAGGTGGTGGCCGTTTGAAGAGGAACGACTGTAGTTCTGCAATGGAGGTCAAAATTACTTGGAACACTGTGAAAAAACCCTTCCAAGAAATTGGTACACAGAACTGACCGCTCATAATGACAACTACTTGATCGGCTTTAGCGGGATCATCCCTTCAACCTCCCCCCCTCCCTTTCCCATCCCCCCAGCACTGCTGTGTGCCCAAAAAAAGACCCATTACTCGACTCGTTTTGTTGAAAAGTCAACATTGTTTGGGGTGAGAGTGGGGACGTCGCTAGTTTTACTGTTATTGTTGGAAAGGTCCCTACACTTTTAACCTCCATTATTTTAGTCACAGTTCTCATTCGCTTTAATTAGTTATGTCAACGCCCTTAAGTTAATGTGTTTGTCTGAATATTTTTATGTAGTATTCTTAAGACCCCTTTCAACCGTCCAACTTAACATGTGCGAATCTATAGCTGATGACTAGTATCCTTATGGCCCGTTTCAAACGTCGAGCTTTACAAGTGACGAATTTAATGCTGAAATTAGCATTTTATTGCAACTGATCAGACTCACTTTCTTTCCTTTTTCTTCCAGTGAAAAAAGAGCCAAAAAAGCAACAGCAGAAGGTAATAATAATTTTTGACCAATCATTTTGGACATGTCAAGTAGATGACGACTTAAACGTGGGGCAGTGAGTCATGTTCACTGTTGCGACACTTCACCAATGACAAATACTAGAATTCATTTCGGTTTTCTAGTGCTATTCAAATACTGTAAATCTGGTAAGGTTTTAAAAAACAAAAGCACTAATTTGAACGAAAAGCAAAAAAACTGTTGGATTATATTATGGGAGGATGTCGTTGAAGAAATGGCCGATTCGGAGAACGGAACAGGCTCTTTGTACTTTGCGAAAATACTTTACATAAAACTTTTTTTTTTCTTTCAAAATGTCTTGTGATCCGATCGATGCAAATGGAAATATCTTTGAATTCATCTATTCACTGTTGGAAAAATGTAATTAGTTTCATTTTTTGATGATTATTAGTGGTTGGCACGGGCCTTGAAAAGTCCCTGAAAATTTGAAAATTGTGGGATATCCTTGAAAAGTTCTTGAATTATTCCACAGAAGTCCTTGAATACTTTTGAAAGCTCCTTGAATGAAAATAACCTCCTTTAAAAAAATTGTTTTTACTGTTTTTTAAGTGGAGCGCCTGTCAATTAGCTAAGGCAGTTTGCGCTTCCACTCCAAGTATCTCATTAACACTTTCTCGGATCCCGTCATAGGTTACTACTAAATGAAGGTCAGTCAGTTAGTTATCTGAAGACCTCGAACGCGGCGAGTCTGTGACTCGTTTTCCTCCTCTACCTGCTTTATGTGCTCTTTGGATATCGCTATGAACTGACACTACCTAGTGTTGATTGACTGCTTAATGTATTACCTTCTTTTCAGCCGACAGACGCAGCTAAGGCCAAGCCGAAAGCTGCAGCTGGCCCAACTGGTGCAAACAAGACAACAGATAAAAATGCGGCAGAGAAGAAAAAGGAAGATATCAAGAAAGATAATAATGGCGAAGTAAATGTGGACAAAGATGCTGATGAACTGCGCAAAGCTTTAGATGGTAGGTGAAAATCAAATGAGATCTTCGTTACTCAATTTTTACTTCTAGTCGACAACACACCAACTAATATTGGATAATTCAATTCAATAAAATTATTTAAAATTTCGTTATTGGTCATGTATAATTTTTACAGATAATGAGAAGAACAAGGTTGTCGACATCTTAGCCAAATACTGTGATGAGAAAACCAAGTTACAGAAGCTAAAAGACAAGTACAAGGAGAAACACGATCAGGTAAGTTTTCATTGTAATTAGTGTCTGTTCAGTAAATACTTTACAACCAGACAACATTGAAGTTTCGATTACATCGTTTTAACATATTGCTCTTTGGCTAATAATCTAGCTCAGTTGACTAACTTTAGCTAAACGAAAAATTTTAGCCATATTTGTGTTATTGTGTTTTTGTGTCATTGATTTTTAGTTTTTCTTATTTCCAAGAGAGCTTACTTCTATACTGCCCTCGTATTCGTTATGTCCGACAGAACGCCTGAGGCTGTTAAGCCTGTTTTGTGTAATACTGTCCTGTATTTGTTGCGTCCAATAGGTTCTCCTTGAAGCTGTTAAACCTGTTTTGGAAGAAGAGCAGTTACAAGATGCTGTAGAATGTCTCCTGATGGAGACTGCGTCGTATGACGCTAAAGTTCTGTACAATTCTATGAAGGTGAGTAAGGTGTTTGAACTTATAATAAACTTCACTAGAATCCAAACTGATAGTGGAGTTGTATCAGAGTATGGTAGAAGAGTTGACTAGCCAAAGTGCGCGCTTAATTTAAGGTTAATAATTTTAACCGTACAACCGAGTTAAAAGTATTTGAAATCCGATTGGTTCACCAGCTTTAGTGCTTTGGACACCTTTTGCCGGGGCCGCCAGGTTGTTCAAAGCTGGGTTAAGGTAACCCAGAGTTAGTGCGAAATTAGAATTCCATATGAAAGCTTAAAAACAAATTCGGTGTAATTATTTTTTTCTACTCTTTGACGACTGGGTGCTCTACAAGAAATAGAGAAAATTATTTAAGATTATGCTCCAGTTTTAAACAAAAAAAAGAAGGAAATCCGCATTGAAATTAAACGCTGGTTTAGTACTAATCGGCCTTCCAACAACTGGTCCTCAGATTTGTAACGCGTAACCTACTGTTGCTATCCCGCAGGGTCTGGGGACGGACGAAGATGTGTTGATTGAGATTATCTGCTCAAGAAATAACGCTGTAAGTCATGCACACTGGTTCTTCTAGCCCACGTTTTGTTTGTTTCAGATGTAAGTGCTAAACCTAACCCGTTCACATTTTTTATAGCTAACTAGTGTCTTTTTTCCCCCTCAGGAACTGGCCGACATAAAAAAGGCCTACGCGGACCGTGAGTAAAATTAAAGAGTGTTTTAAGTCAAGGTAATAACATCCGACACTATTTTCATTGTACAAGTTAACTCATGTGCTTTTCTGTCTCTATCTTTGTCTAAAGAGTATGGAAGATCGTTAGAGAAAGACATTGAAGGAGACACCAGCGGAGACTTTGAAAATCTACTAGTTGAGCTAACCAAGGTGAATATCATGGTATTAAATGGTTGTTGGCTTAAAGAGCGCTCCACTTTTATTCTGCCCTCTTAGGTTCACTCGTTCACAAAGCACTGGACGAATTTTCGACCGACTGGAAAAATCATTTTGACCGGACACTTCGTTCACGCGGGACCGTTCAATATTTTCGCTCTGCTCACACTTTTAACGTCTAGGCGTTAAAATGTTTCAAAACGCCGAAACGCACAATTTTCAACCGGTTGGAATTCGTTCGGTGCCGTGTTAACCAGTTGTAAGTGGATCTTTTCTGATGTACACGTTCAGCCGTTTACTTTAGTTTAATGGGTAACTGACCAACGGGGCGGGCGTTTGTTAAATCAATTTTATTTTACAGTACATTGCAAGAAATTGAGCGCTATTGTTTTCGCTGATGAAGTTCTTTTTTCCGCGATCTCTGATTGGCCAACTGGCTAGCTGGCTAACTAGCAAGTGCCATGCCTTCAATTAGGTAACGCGCAACTCAGATTTCCTCAAGCAAAACACATGGTGGCCAACATATTTTTTATTTAGTTGCAATTTACATCAGGAAATGCTTATTTACTTAGGGCAAACGGGACGAATCCAGCAAAGTGGATAAGAGTTTGGTCAAGAAAGACGCGGAAGCTCTTATGCAGGTATTGATTGATTGAAGTATTGTGTCAATGCAACCTTTATCTTTTTAGGATGACATGATTTCTCTACATCAACAGCTTATGAAAAGAAGGGCAAATTTACATTTAAATAAACGCAACCCGCTTTTTTCAAAGGTCACTCAATTAAGTTGGTTGAGTTTTGTTAAGAGATGTTATGGCCTAACCGTGTCAAACGATCTCAGCATCTCCTCATGCTTAAGTAAGATGTAGAAGCGCTGTGTTTAGACGCATTTTTAGATTGTTTTCAGTCCCCTATTTTTCCGTAATACCACTGAGATCGAGTACTTACTATAACCAACCCGCTCTCCCAAAATAACCCTCACCCGTTACTTGTGCGAGTTAGTTTTGATACCTTTCTCTGGGTTACACTCGGTACATTTGAAACTAAGATGACCGCCCGTTATAGCTAGCGCTCGATCTCGACGATCTCGAAGAAATTTGCAGGTGGAAAAAAGGAGGCTATGGTGAACCAAAGTTAAAAAGATTTTAAACTTATTTTGTCATAACAAAGGAAATGTTGGCTAAAGATCGGATCTTAGTCTTTCCTTTTGAGACCGTTTAACCAGAAGGCTATACACTTGTACTTTATCTATTTTTTTTTTGGTGACAACCCTGTTCGCTATCCCGCCCTTCTGATAACAATGAAATAATTTCCCATGGTTGGTAACACTAGGGCTCGCTCCTATTTTGCTATTTCCGCATCAAGAGGAAGTGGTCGCTACTGCTGAACTAACTACACTTACGCATGCGTAGTACTTGACGTAAACTGTTTCATTGTTTTTTCTTTTTGTAATTATTATTATTTATCATTTTAAATCTAGGCCGGATTTCTTGGTACAGACGAGAACAAATTTATAGAAGTGTTTACTCAGCGAAGCTTTGCACACCTCAAAGCAGTTTTCCAGGAGTACAAAAAAGTGAGTTTAAAAAATTCAAAGTATTGATGCAACTATCATCCTGCCCGTTGTCATAATTTCTCTCGCTGTTACTGTTTTCCATGCAGATTTCTAATCAAGAAATGGACGAAACTATTGAGGAGGAGATGAGTCAAGACATGGAAAAAGGATTTAGCGTGCTAGGTACAGCTTTTGGTGTCTTTAATCTGAATTGAGGAGACCTGCCTTTGAGGCTCTTTTGAGGCCTGCCTTTGTTCTGACACCTGCAAATGGTTAGACTCTCTAGTCTTTTTGGTTAAGGACGAAAAACCGCTGTTCTCGTCCCGCAGTACTGTCTGTTTGGGATGTAAAAGAACCACTTCAGGCACCGTTAAAAATGATCGTCTTTACCCTAACCTGAGAAAAAAGCGGACATTCCGCAACGCCATCACTGGTTTGCCCGCGAAATGACGTCTGAGAAACGACCGCAGAAATTCCATACTGATGACGCGTCACTACCCTGGGGCCCGTTTCTCGAAAGGCCCGCCGAAAAACCTTTCGGGCTAGATCGCGAGGGCAAATTTTAAAATCGGATCCTGTTGAATAGCAGCACAGTTCCTAGCCCGCAAGCCAGTCAATTTTAATTCTTTGTTTACTGATAGTTTCAATTAATCATTTACAACTTTGGTCTTGAATGCAAACCAGGCAACATAAAACAGTTTTCCGGGTCCGAAAAGGTGCCGGGGCTTTCGAGAAGCGGGCCCCAGATCTGAGTAGTGCTTTCGATTGATTGAAGCAAGTTTCCCTCGAGGCACAACCAAATCAGAAACAATACCCTGCAGATCTAGGTAAGAAGGGACACGTCTGCACTCATCAGTATAGAATTTCTATGCTCGTTCCACTAACGTCATCTCGCCGGAAAACAAGTGGTGACGTCGCGAAATGTAGGTTCTTTTCTAAGGGTGGCGGTTCCTATGGCATTATCACTGTAAAGCCCTGATGAGAGTGTACAATAAGATGTTTCTCATTTACATCACATAAGGGCAGTACCACGCTAAAAATCAAGGAAAGTACACTAGACGTGGTACAAAAAGTCCTTTGAGCTACAACAAATCCACTTTCCTTCTTTAACTGTTTTTCTTGCACTACTATATAGCCTTAAGCACATTTAAGCACAAACTTATGCTAAATCTTGATACTCCTTTTGCCAGTAAGAAGGACAAACCTGGATCTTTCTTTTCCGGAAATCGTGTACCATTTTGTCATTGCTTGTCTTTATTTCAGTGAAATTCGCTCGTGATCCTTCTAATTTCTACGCTGCTAAGCTGCATAATACATTAGAAAGTGGCGATACGGACACTGCTGGACGCATTATTCTCACAAGTACAGTGGTAAGACTTGTTTTTAGTTGTCGACCTAATCCAACAGCCTGCGCCGTAGACGAACAAGAGCAGTATTACTCTGCGCCAGTTGTACTCAGGCTACAATAGTTCTGTCAATCGATGATTTAGCAGTTTTCAAACAGGCAAATTTTCCCTTTATTTTCTGGGGTGTCCCACGGTTTGGGATGGTCAGGGAGGGTTTCTGACAATTAAAAACATGCGTTTCGACTATCTATTAAGACGGCGATAGGTTTTGTCTAGCATCAAGTTCAGTTTGGATGTAAACAAGTGCTCACAACTTAATGGAGGTTTCAATATAGCCACATGTGCTATATTATCATCATTTTACCCCTCTAAAACCTTCAATAGTTCAGAGTACTTTACTAGGATACTTTATTTGTTCATGTTGCAGGATGAGTTAGCTGACATAATCGGAGCATATAAAACGCTCTACGGCAAAGATCTCACCAAAGATGCTGAAGCAAAATTCAGTGAAAATATGAAAAAGCTTGTTTTTCCCAGGCTAAAGAAAGGTACTTTATTACTAGTAGTACTAGTGGAGATTGGAGGGTGGGACGTCTTGCAGGCTACTCACTTTTACTGCAAATGCGTCATCTTGAGGCATCGTTTAAAACAGAATGCTAAAGAAGAAACGTAGCTCAAAAAAGACAAAGTTGTAGACACGTGTTTTAGTCCCATTCATATCAGTAGCTGGGCGGCTTTGGCTGTGTTTCGGTTGTGCCAGTTTATTTGTTATTATCATTTTAAACTTTCAAATAAACCCTTTAAAATTGAGAACCATTGCTGGCCGAAACTGAAGCAGTTCGACCGTGAGACAAAATTGGAGTGTACACTGAACCGAGCCAAAAGTACCACATAGACTGATCGAACTGACCACAGTGGTCAATTACGTTCTTTAAAGTGTGTGCCTCTGAGTTTTTCTTTTTAACTACCCATGGATTACAACATAACAAACGTTTTTTTTCCTTTTAATCTCAGGAGGCCAGCAACAGAAAGAAAAGGTTGGTGCTGTTATTTTAATTATTACTGGTGCATTTATGATATCACATTGACCCTCTTGTCGGACTCAGTTCAGTGACTAAGTATTTACTCTGGTATTTGACATGCGTTGTCTTTTTGGAAGACTAGCGGTACCTTTTTTGGGCTACAATTGCATTCAGTAACATGAACTGCATTTTTTGTATTCATTTTTTCATTCATTTGCTTGTTTTTTGTTCATTTTTTTTTTTCATGTATTCATATATACTGTAGGAGAAGGCAGGAAGCAAGAAGCCCGCCGCTGGTGGAAAAAAACAAGGATCAGTTAACAAAAAGGCGGACGCAAAACCGGCTGGTAACAAGAAGACCTCAACACTCAAGAAAACACAACCACAAGACGAAAATTGTGATTACTCCGACCTACGAGACGCTATTGATGGTGAGCTCTATTTTTCATTAAATTCTTCGTTACCAGTCTTGTTGACCAAGTTCTATATTTACTGCTATTTAAAAGAGAAGTCGTTACGTCACGTTGCCATGGTAGCAAAATTTCTGAACGATAACAAACCGGAAACATCACTTAAAAAGCGAATTCGCACTGTTTCAAACATTAACTTCGACTATCTTATTCAATTTCATTTAATTTGTCTAATGATGGCGAAATTTTCTGAGGTTAAATCCGAAAGGACCGTATCTAAGTTTAGAAAAAGAAAAAGAAAATTTTTGCGTTGTGCTCACCTACTTCGTAAAGCTGGTGCGTGAAATTAGGAAGTTTCACGTGATGCTTGGCGCGGTTGTTGTTTTGCTGCTATAAACAACCTATTGCTCTTTTCCAGTCTCTTTGCTGTCGCCGGCGTCGTTACTTTAGGTCCCTATTGTTGTGATCCAGAAATTTTGCTACCATGGTAACGTGACATCACACTTCTCCTCTCTGTAGAGTCACGTTGCGGTGCTATTCAGGCCGTATCCATAGTAACCGCAAATTTTTTTATCCGGATTCGTGTGGACGGGCCCTCAAACCGAGCTGCAGAGAAAAGATATTCGAGCCCTAGTTATGCCACATTAAATAACTTGCTAATGTCCTTTCACACTCATGTCACAGTGTGATTACTTAGTTTAAGTTCTTTCATCTTCGTGTTTTTAATATCAATAAAGCTAACAACAAGAAGAAAATAAAAGAGATTGTGTGCAGAAACCTCGAAGACAAGAACAAAGCAAAGAAGCTAGTGGAAGATTACGATAGCCGATATGGAAAGGTAAGGCTTTGTGAGCTTACCCTTTTTCTCCAATGTTTGAATAATTGAATATGTTTACAGAAAGGTGGATTTCCAAGGGAAGAGAAGGTTGTTAAATACGTGGCTTTAAGGAAGACTAGTGATTCTATGAATAGAAAAAAAAATCACACCATCTCAGCGCTATGATTAGTATGTATAGTTGCATGTTGCAAAATTAAGGTCAGCTTGTGTAAAAAGCATAAGCATGTCATTCCGGCAACAATATTCCTTTTTTTTTTTTTTATCTGTATGAAATCGTTTCTCTTTGGCGTTATTTGCAATAGCAACCGGACCAATGTATTTGGTCAAAAATCCTGTTTGAGTTCCATCTCACCAACAGTGTTTAGCTTACAATTTTTTTTAAAAAAAGTCATTTGCGGTTTTAGGAACCTCATTCAGGCTCTTAAGCTTCCAGATCCATATACGGTTTTTGCTCATCGTACACACTTTCCATCATCTGCCGTTGGTTACGCAGATCGACTCGGTTCTAAGGCTGAACATTATGAAAAGTCCAGGATGTAATGCCTGGCGCGATGAACCCATGTGCGTTTGCTGTAACGACCGATGTGTCGACGCTAAATAACGTAGTATACTTTACAGCAGCTTCTACTGCATGCTGCCGTAAATTATATTTAAACTCGTGTTACAAATTTCACTTTGACTTACATTACTGCTTATCCTTCATATTCCTTTAGGAATTATTTGAAGCGCTGGAGGACAAGCTTGAGCCTGATCTCTTAGAGGCGTTAGTTGCGTTGTCATTACCTAAGGCTCAATATGACGCAAGAACGTTGAACTTGGCAATGAAGGTGGGACATACTTTTCAAGATGTATTTTGACAAAATATAATGGTATAATATGTCTATTCCCTCTCTCTAAATTAAGCCAATTATTTCATTTTAGGGTCTCTTCACAAAGGAACTAGTGTTGATTGAAACATTCTCGACGAGAACTAACGCAGTGAGTATCAGAAGGGACAAGAAGCACTGAAAACTGCTTTACAATATTCTGGACTCTCTTGTGGCTTGCACTCTTTATTTCCTATTCAAGCTAAAATTTTCATTTGTTCTCATTGTCAGGAAATTGCCGCAATCAGACAAGCCTACAGGAAAAGTGAGTCTAGGATATATCGAGTTTGTGTATTTTGAATAGTCAGTTACAGTATTGCCTCTTATCCAATTGCTTTAACTTTTTTCTCAGAATACAGGAAAGACCTACAAGAGGTGATAAAGGACGAGACTAGCGGCGACTTTGAGACGCTACTCGTTGAGCTCTGCAAGGTTTGTGCTTTAAAAGTCAAAATAGACGAGCCACTGTAGCTTTGCGCTCAATAGCTAACTAGTTTCACACCTGTAATTGTTGCTTGTAAAATCGCATAAGTAGAATCTCATTTTTTGTCCACAACTATGTACAACATTCCGGGGTGTGACTTTTCATTCAATCTTTACTTGCGGATCTGAATGTCATATCCACTGACCACTTAACAAAACATCGCCCGTCGTGCGCTTGGTTGCCGCTCAGAAGATGCCGGGCGTAAATTGAACAAAATGTTTCGGCGTGCAGCCGGCCAGATCAAGTAGGTTCGCATAGAATGCACAGACCTCTGTGATCGACAGTTTTTAAGCAGTCAGTTATTCCCCTTCATTATCTGTTCCTAATGGTCGATCTTTTTTTATTTATCAGGGCCAGAGAGAGGAAAGCGAAGAAGTCAGTAACGATTTAGCGCATCAAGATGCCGAGGCATTGTTAGAGGTGAGAGAACAAAAAACTGACATTTAGTGATATGAGTCATTCTCATTTTGCTTTTTAGTTCCTTGAAGGAAGAAGAACAGTTCATGATATCCATTTGATTCGCACGAATGCCTAAGTGTTGTTCTTTGATGCTCATCACGTCAAGGGATTCCATCCACAGGCTCAAAATTTTGAACCAGTGTTAATACTGCAGCACATTAATAGTACAACGTGGAAATACTAGGCTGAAATTTGTTTATTTGAATGTTCACACAAGAGGATCTCATCCAACGTTAGAACAACTTCGTCCCCAGTACTCACTAAGGAGATAAACTTTGAAAAAGGCGGTCTTTGAACCATTAAAGAGTGATCCAAAATTAAAAATACCATATTATGAGTAGTTTGTTTACTTTTACTTTTTCATTTATATTTTTGATGACAGGCTGGCATTAAAAAATGGGGCACCGACGAAGAGAAGTTTATAGAAATTTTCACGACCCGTAGCTTTGCTCAGCTAAGAGCTATGCTTCCCGAATACAAGACGGTAATTACCAGAACACCTTTTACTTCTGTGTTACTTTCTCAACCCCGGGCCTTTAGCCTGCTGCATTGCGCATGCGTTTCTGTTAGGCATGCTTCCCGGCGAAATTTTGCAACCTAAACAGGCTTCCTATCTTTCTTTTGTTTTAATTACAGTAAAAACATGTAAACCACCAGAAAACAAATGTGAATGATTTTTTTTATTATTATTATCATTGATTCTGGAATGACACGTCGGTCTAATTTTCCTTTTCAGAGCGTTTCAGAAACACCTTTTTTTGCCTTTATTGCAAGAAAAGAACAAAGAGAAAGCAACAACAAAAAGGAAAAAACACATTAATTACAACTAACAAGTACAAGCAGGAAAAAAATGACCCATTTAATTTGCACTTTTCCATAGCAATTCTTACACCAAATAATAAAATATTGTAGACAGTACAGGGCTTTTACATAAAAAGTGGAACTTCTGATATATACTTTATTCGGTCAAGCATTTCAGAACCACTTGACAATATAATTTGGCCGATGCGAATATCTCAGGCTCCCTCACCCAACTTATTAGTGACATCAGCAGTTGAGATCATGTGACCTCATGTCACCTGATTGGTAGATTGAGCCCTTCATTCCAGTTCAAGCAAGAGCTCCTTTGTTTTATGGGCTGGGGATGTTCTAGTGCCAACCTCTTGATGGTTCATCTTTTTATTTTGTAGTGGGCCAAGTGTGAAATCGAGAACACGATAGATTCCGAAATGTCAGGTGACCTGTGCAACGGATTGCAGACTCTCGTTAAGTGCATCAGAAACCAGAACCAGTTCCTCGCGGACAAACTGCATGAAGCTCTTAATGAAAAAGACACAAAAACTACGACAAGAATTATTCTTGGAGAGGTAACCCTTCGATAGTATTATTTCGTTTTATCACAGGCAGCCTAAGCTTATCACTGACTATTTACCCGGACTATTTACTATTTTCCTTGCATAGTACTTCCGGGTTGCTCTGTGGTTTAAGAATCACTTTTTGCAGATGTGATTCCAATAGAGAAGCCAGCAGCTATGCAAATTTATCGGAACAAAAGAAAGTTTTTTTTTTTTAAGGAAAGGGTTTAAATCCCACTGGATTGGTTTGGAATACCAACATGGCGGACGTGACGTCATGTGAAAGGGCTCTATTGACCAATTGCAAAATGACTTCATTGTAACAAAAAAAATTGTAAATTGCTTGTTTACCCACGAAGCACATAGGAGTTCATATAAACTCGTTTAAACGTGTCCGTGCGTTCCAGATCGAATTGGAATTTGGCAGTGTTGGTTTTTGGGAAGAGGGAAAAACCGAAGTACCCGGAGAGAAACCTCTCGGAGCAAGGGAGAGAACCAATTTTTACTACTACTTCCTCAATGATTCAGAGTTTTGCTTTCTTCTGCAAATTAGGGCTTTTGCTGTTATAAAACTATTTAGGATTGCCAAATTTTAATGTGAAAGGAAAACAAATTGGATTTTCGTTTTAGTAGTATAGTAAAATGTCGCCATCGTGCAAATGGTCTATTATACTTCCCCGCATTTTTCTTCCTTCTTGCGTTATTCGTTTGCCATGGTTACCTGCTTCATTTTTCCTTTGTTTCTTTGCTTTTTGTGCAGATAATTGCTTTCTTTTATTATCTTAAATTTAGAGTAACCTGGCTGAAGTAGAGAAGGCCTACAACGCAACGTACAAGCCTAAACTTGCCGAGGAGGTCGACAAGAAAAGTAGCAATGAGTTGAAGAAACTTCTTTTGCCAAAACTAAAAGGTATAACTTAAACAGCGACGGTTTGCAATTCAAACTGATCACTTAATGCATAATTGTTTTAAATTCCGTATCTTTCAGTTCGATGTTGCATATTTTTCCCGATATTTTTTAATGAATTAGGTTATGAAATGTTCTTTAGATACTTTAAAATGATGTCGAATTTCCTGTAATACATGTACGTTTTGTAGCCTTAAGCATTCACAAGTAGCTCAAATTTCCCAAGTCCTGTCTACCTGCGTATCTTCTTTAATTTGCTATATAATAGGACACCGAATTAGTCTATTATATTTATAAGAGCATTTGGTAGTCATTTCTGTTTCTTACACGCACATAAAGTGCAGTAAATTGTACACAATGTTTCCAAGAAGTATATAAGACATTGTATTTATCAATAACGCGAACAGAGTATTTGTGAGGTATGTTACTTATTACTTCACATGCACTTTGTAAAATATTTTGTACACCTAAGTTACCGTACCGTCGAATTTCCCGTAATACATGTACGTTTTGTAGCCTTAAGCATTCACAAGTAGCTCAAATTTCCCAAGTCCTGTCCACCTGCGTATCTTCTTAAATTTGCCATATAATAGGACACCGAATCAGTCTATTATATTTATAAGAGCATTCGATAATCATTTCTGTTTTTTACACACACATAACGTGTAGCAGATTGTATATATGTATATACACAATGTTTTCAAGAAGTGTATATGTAAGATGTTGTATTTATCAGTAACGCGAACAGAGTATTTGTGAGGTATGTTAATTACTGCACATGCACTTTGTAAAATATTTCGTACACCTAAGTTATTGCTTGTGAGCACCTTGTAAATATAATTTTTGTAACAAATGCACTTGTGTTGCACTTATTATTAGTTGTGTTGTGTTATGACGCTCTTAGTTATATAAGCAGAAAACAAAGGCGCAGGTGTCGTGCAAGTTACGCTTGCGTCGCGATTTTTCATCGACATTCTAGGCGTGGCTTCACAAAAGATAAGATAAAAGAGTTTGAGACAGCTAGAGAAACTTGCTTTTGAACAAGGAAGGCGAATTTAGTATGACCCCTATCAATTTATTTGCGTAGTTTGTTGAGAGCCTTTAACTCGACCTCAGTTAAAACATAGCTCAAGTTGAAATAACCATTGTACTAGTTAGAGCTGTCTTAAGCAAATTATAAAGCTGCATGGTTCCGAGGTTCGGTGAAAGCGGTTGTCGTCATGCACAAAACTAGTTTTCGAAGATGTTTATACATTTCCTTTGATTAGTAGTACCCAGTGAAAAGTAAAGAGCGTGTTGCTAAACAGGGAGTGGCAAGGGAGGGGAAAATGGGAGAAAGGATCAAATCTGTGTGTGCTTGGGGAGGGGGGGAGAGAGAAAGAAACACAAGAGTGTATATTTCACAGTAATCTTGTTATCAAGAATATTTTAAAATGACAAAGACAAAACGGGAAATTTTCCTTTTCTCTCTCTCCCTCCTCCAAGCTGCATTTTCTCTTTTTGTTTTAGTTTTTTCATTTCCTTTTTTTTTTTTGCACCAATAGTTGAAGTCTTTATACTCTTAACAATAGAATTTGTGGGCCCCTCCTCGGACGTTTTAAAATTTTAAGGTCACCCTTCAGATTTCACAAAAGTCATCTTGAAAATTTTTACAGATGCTTTTAAGGGGGCAGTCTGGTTGATTTTTGAGGGAAATGTTGCTGATTTGGGAAGGAAATAATTTAGGGTAGAAAAGGAATACATATAAACCAGTTCATCCGCTAATGGGCTCAGAGGCACCTTCCCCTTTTTGTTGTAGGGGTGGTTTTCTTGTATTTTTCTACCAATTATTCACTTCATATTTTAATTGTTAGGAACCTCCAAACCAAAATTTTTGAAAATTTTAATCATCACCTTTTAATTTTGTACAATAAAAAAATTCGAAAATCATTCAAAAATGCTCCAAACATTATTTGAACCAATGTCTTCGAACTAATTGAGTAATATTTGATTGAATGAAATCTTGGCTAGATATTGAAAAACTGGTCGGAAATAAAAGAAAAACAGCAATGCTTTTAACCAGACTGCCCCCTCTAAAGCAGCTATGCTGAATCTTTATTGTATACAGTTCATAAATAAAGATCATATTCTCGTTTGCTTGCTTGCCTGCTCATCTGTGTGCTTGCTTGTGTGCTTGTTTGCTTGCTGACATGCATAGTAGCTCATCATGCATATTGCATCCCCGGTTAGCTTGCTCGCTAGTTGCATGTTTGCTGCGCTGCATTGCATTGCACTTCCCACTGCTTTGCATACATATATAGCCTTGGGCCCAGGCCTTGGGGAGCATCTGCAGCCAATCACTCCTTAATGATACGCTTCACCCAATCGGCAATCTTAATTTCTACAGTTTATATAGAAAATGGGCAGGTTTATGCGCGTTATTAAAACCATAAAACGACTCTAGCAATTCTCGAATCCTGTAACTTATATCTTTAGGTTTCTACTAAACATGACGCTGGTAAAAAAAAACTCACAAAATACAAGATAACATTGATATCACGAATTAATGTTGATCTAAATTAACCCAAAAGGCCTTTCATCACATGTTTGGTGGCCAGTTAAACGCTTTTGTTCATAGAAACTACATGGTAACTGTTATCTTCTTTCTAAAGATAAATTATTAATCATGAAATGATTGTTTTAATTTAAATCTGATAAAAGACAGTTTGTTTTTGCTTCAATTTTATCATAAGAATGATAAAAAAAGCCAGCAGTGACTGGAAAATTTTCAAAATAGACCTAAAGAACACATTTCAATTAATTCTTTAGTGGGTAACCTGTTTGAGGAAGTCTTACTTATACGCTCAGCTGTGCCTCCTCGTGTTTTAAACTTGATAACCTTTTTTTCAGCTATTACAGTCTGCTTTCAAGTAGCAATTAAAACAGTGAGCTGACAGTCGCTGTTACGCCTTGAGCCATTTTCATTAAAAACACTCGGAGTTTTACTCAGAGTATTGATGTTCTTATGACTGATAGTTTAAACCAAAATTCAGCTAGACGAAACACACTGCACCATCCCCCAGCCAGTACCTTACGCATGCGCACAGCCATATTACTTTTCCCTTCAGTGGTTTCTAGGACGAAAGAGGGGCTATTCGTGGCTGCCACTGCGGCAGTGACATGGCTGCGCACATGCGTGATATATATTTACCATCCCTGGAAGACTGTAGACACTGTTTTAAGTCAAGAAAAAATATCCAGTGTAAGTTTGTTAACATTATTACATGTATGTTCGTTATTTTCAAAGCCGATTCTCTTAAAGACAAAAAATTATTTCACTTCCCATTTAAACGAACCTTAGATTAAACAAAACTAAATCAGTCTAAAGGTGAACAACAACAATCCCCGCCTACCTCAAATGTTGACTGTCATTGATTTTAGCGCCCCATTTATGAATAATGTAAAAAACATCCATTTTATGAAACAGCAAAATTGATATTGACATCTTAACTCTATGAATACTGCGAAAACACTTGTGTAGTTTGTGAACTGACATGCCTTCTTCTTTCCGTTTGAAAACTGGAAAGATAAAGATTTGTGCAGTGATGTTGCGAAAAATGGGAGCTTTGCTTTACAAAGGCCCTGTTTATATGGAGAGCTTTGTCGCCTACCCGAGCTACCCTGCCTGTAGAGCCAACTTTTCCTACATTTTCCTACATACGTGGCGAACAGTTTACACGAGAAACAAAAAGTTAGCTCGGCCAGCAGGGTGACCCACGTAAACCGCGCTTCACCCTTTTTCAATGGACGGGTCCCAGTAACGATTGGAATCCGCGCTTCATCCTTTTCCAAGGGTCGGGTCACCCTTCAAACCGGGCAAACTTTTCTCCATATAAACACTCTGGTTCAACTTGGTCAAGGCGAGACAATCAGAGCTGGTGCGAGCGCTGTTGTCAGATCTTGGCTTTGGCAAAGGGGCCCATATAAACGCTCGCTAAAGATGACTCGGCTGGAAGGAACCCTCTTTAATTGGACAACTTTTCTCCATATAACGGCGAGACCTAACTGGTGAGGTTGACCGTGCTTCCCGAAATGGCTTCGGGTAAAGAGAAAGGTCACATCCTTCAGGGGTAAATTGAAGGAATCTGGTATATTCTGCAGTAGAAAGCTAATATTTGATATTTCATCTACAGACACAGAGCCGGACGAAAAACCAAGAGAGGTAATAGTTAACTCACTGATGCTCAACCAGTTTAGCCCACGTACGCTTGTTTCCTAGCACGATAAGGGATGGGGGAGGGGTGAATGACTATGAGAAAGAAAATGAAACAAGCGTTTTCGTATTCTTTCTCTCGCCGGGGAACGACTATTACGCAGACCATTTCCGATAATCTTAAGATAAACTTTAAAGTGTTCGCCCCTGTTGACCTCTCCTACAGTACGGGATTCCTAGGCAAGCGACTGAGCATGCATGTACCAATTTTCAATTTCGTAGACCGCCTTCGTGGAACAAATTAAACTTAATAAAAGAAGAAGATGATATGCAGCAATCATACCATTAATATACGTTAGCCTGTTCCAGGCTGCAAGATGGTAGTACAGTCGTGCAGTAAAAGTGGTATGAAAAATGCGCTGGGGCTGGGGGAGAGAGAGAGAGAGAGAGAGAGTTGGCGGTGGTGGGTGGGTGTCAGTAAAGCGCAGGGTCCGGGTCGGGATCTATCTTTTTTTTTAAAGAATGCTGTTTTAGGGTTAGGGTTAGGTTAGGGTTACTGCTAGTGTCAACCCTAACCCTTACCCTAACCCTAAAACAGCATTCTTTAAAAAAAAGATAGACCCCGACTCGCGTTTTACTGATAGCAGGCGTAGTGGGTGGTGGTCAGTGGCGGTAATCGTTAAAGAAATGTTAACAGGCTCTCTTTGACTCACACCTATTTTTGCGCCACTGCCCCCTTCGCCAGGTCTCGCGCGTCTTATTTTCGCATAGCTTGCTTTATTTTTGCGACGTCCCTTGTATCTGAAAGCCTTGCATAGAATATGATAATCTATTCCAAAATATATACCCCACTGGGTGCGGAATTGGAAAGGACCTATGATGATGACGATGATGAGTGGTTTTTGCTGACTAGGGATTTAGTGAGTAATTTAGCTTGCACGTTCTTAAAACCATCTATTTTCAACCAGACAAGTACATGAGTGAAAAAGATAATATCTCCTTCTCGTACTTGTTCCTTTCCTGGAGTCTAGAACGCTCTAACTTTTTCATTGCCGCACATTCATATAAAGAGGATAAGTGGATGACGGAACGAAAGTCAAAGCTTCCTGTGAGAGAGATTTTGTCGGCTTTTGAAACAAATATAGTTAAACACCTGGCCAAAATAAAGCTTAAGTTCACATTGCTTGCTTGCTTGCAAAAACTTCTGGGTGATTTCTTTTTCGGACAACAATAGTGTCCGAAAATTAAACCTTCCAAAAATGGCGACGTTTTCAAAAAATTTAAGGCCAATTATGCATGGTGCAGCTAAAATCGGAATAGTCTCGTGTCCCTCTCTCGACATATCTGCTAAATCGTGATGATGTATATTAACTACGAAGACTTTTTTGCATGAGATTTGACCTTTTAAAAATAATACAAATTGCAGAATGAGGAACTGAGGGTAGAAAAGCCTACTGAAAGCAAACCAGAAGAGAAGCCTTCTGAAAGCAAACCGGAAGAGAAACCTTCTGAGAGCAAACCGGAAGAAAAACCCTCTGAAAACAAACCGGAAGACAAACCTTCCACAAACGAGCCTTTGACCGCTTCAGATCAAAGTGCGGGAGAGGGGGAAAAAGAAAAAGGAAACGATGAAAGCTCTGTAAAACAAGAGGAGGACACGAACAAAGAGGAGGAGAGACCAAAACTAAATGTTGAAAAGGTTTGAAAATATATATACATTGTTCTTTTCTCAACTACTTATAATAAAACGAAAATCAATATTCTATCTCTAAGAGACGAAAAAAAAGGGTAATCGAATGGATAAACAACCAAATATTTTTTTTCTTATTTGACATAAGCGGTTCAGTATTGAAAACTGATAAAGGATTAGTGATAAAGCCCCGTTAATGAATGACACATTGTTTTCACGTTTTTCACCATGTTTCACGGAGTAAGAATGATAATACGTATTTAATTAGAAGTCATTACAGATAGAACGTGATATCAAGGAAAACAATTATAAAAGTTGTTTTATATGTTAAGAATTATACTTGTCATCTTTAGGCTGAATACCACGGAACTTTAAAGCCAGTAGATAATTTTAACGCTGCAGAGGACGCTGAGGCCTTGAAGAAAAGCATGAAGGGTTTCGGTAGGACAACACTCAGTTTTTGCTCATTAAATAGTTCCGGTACAAAGCCCAAAAGACGTATTGTTATTGTTACTGTATTGTTGTTTAGTTTTTTTTGTTGTTGTTGTTTATTTTTTCGTTTATTTTTTTCGCATTTGCTCATTTACCTTTTTTTTACAACAAAAGCCGGTCGATTGCAGAAAGCTAAAATAAAATTTAAAGTGAATAAATTATATTCCCTACGAAACCAATACGATAACTGGGTCATTCATAAGTGACGATCATTACAGTATAGTGTTTGGTTACTTGAAAATTCGTGCCCTTTGTCTTTGCTTTTTTCCTTTTCTGTCAATAACAGGCAGTGATGAAGATGCTATAATAGCGATTCTTGGAGCACGTACCAGCAAACAACGACAAGAGATAGCCGCCAAGTTTGAACAGGAGTATAGCAAGGTATAACGTAGCGTCCAGTGAAAAGGGGGGTACTCCGGATTTCAATTGACGCGGATGATGCAAGGAGTTTTTTGGGTTTGAACTTTTAGATTCCGGGTTTTTTGGGGCAGGAAAATTTGGCAAATATATTTTGGCTGTTCAAAACACTGAAGATTTGTGGTAGTGCCCGTGTATCCTAGCCGCGTAATTCTACGAAAATTCGGCAAGGGATCTTTTTGAGGTCAATTCAATTTTTGGTCCAGGTATTTTCTGGGGTTTTGTTTGAAGCCCAACGGAATTTTTTGGGTTTTGATTTTTGCCCCCGTTCGATCATCCCCGTCACCTGAAATCCGGAGTACTCCCCCTGGCCAGCACATCACTAACAATCCCACATCTTAAATCTCTCTTTCCCTCTCTGGATTTAGCTTCGTACTGATTTTCCTTCAGCAAAAGCGGAGTTTTATTAGGAGGGTGCGGTTGGTTTCACGATATTTAAGGGAGTAAGGGGACAGCTCGGAAGGGACACTTGTGCGCGCACTCCAACTCCAACAGTAATGCATATGTAGTTAAGGGGCGCTTCCCAAAAAATCAGAAGTGGCTGGGTGTCCAGATCAGTCATTTTGAAAGTGAAATATTAGACGACTTTTCTCGTTTTTTTTTCTTTTAATCAAAACCCATCACTGCGGTGCATACCATTTAGGAATTAACTAATCTAGCTGGATAGACCCGATTTCCAGTACCAAAATACGGTGGAATTTCTGCGACTGGACTGGTCTGGCCGGCCAATTCTGAGAAATGGTAATCGCCGCCATGGATATGGACTGAAGGACAGCTATCTTAGTTGCTATTTAACTCCAGTTTCTAGCTGTTATCGTCTCTAAGAAAGTCTATTTCTTTCATTTTTTTCTCAGAACCTTGTTGAAGAATTAAAGTCAGAACTCGGAGGAAAATTTGAGGACGCAATAGTGGCATTAATGTCCTCCCCCGAGTTGAACGATGCCAATTCCCTTCATGAGGCCATGTCGGTAAGACCCTTAACTCTGTAATGAACACAGAAACGTCATGGCAACAATCAAAGTACCTTTAATCTTTTAATTTTGATCCATGTAATATCCTTCGTACTTTTCAGGGTCTAGGAACAAATGAAGCAATATTAATTGAGATTTTAGCTTCACGATCCCCTGAGGTGAGAGTTAAGGCTACACGTGACTCTGACGACTATAAACACTTTATTTGATAATGTACCCTGATCTCTCGTAAGGAGTGTCTTTTGAAAAAGAGTGATGATTATTATTGGTGTCTCTTTTACAAAAGCTTAATGCTAACACTAGTGATTTTATGTAGTTTGAGCAAAACCGTGAAAATGAGAGCCATCCTGAACAGCGTGGGCCTTTTTCTCTTTGTTTTGAGTTCGGTTGGCTGATTTCAAATTTGGCGCCTGACCAAACTTTAAGTTCCCGGAAATGTTTCTTCATTCTGAGCGATGAACTGCTATTGCATACAGCAACATATATGAGTTGTGTTAGACTAAAGTATCTTTTTACAAAGCTGTCCCAGGTTTGTTGTTTTTGTTGTCGTTGTTGATGTTGTTGGCTCTCTTTTAAGCCTGAGTTATGACAGTTAAGTATTCAAACATCCCACTTTTTGTTACAGGAACTTCAAGCTATTAAACCGGTTTACCAACAAGGTAAGTTAATCACTTTAGACGAAAGATAATGAACAAAATGTACATGAGAAAAATAGTGTATTAATCATAGTTACCTGGTTTGGCTCAAGAAATCACTTGTGCGCACATTTTATCACCTAGCATTTATTGTTTTGGATGAGGTGAAGTGGCTTTTCTCATAGGCGTTTTACAACTAGTGAACAAAATATTTAAAAAAACTCATTAATACAGTGAAACCTCTATTAAGCGGACCCCTAATTAAGCGGACACCCTCTATTAAACGCACACTAAGCCGGGTCCCGATATTAATGTCTTATATTTCCCTTTATAAAGAATCCCCGTTTCAGCGGACACCTCTGTTAAGCGGAGGCAGACACTAAAATAAATAGTATTTGGGGACACTTGGGAAGGTCCCGTAGGTGTCCGCTTAATAAAGGTTTCACTGTAATTCATAAAGAAAAAAATTAATGTTTAAATTTTACGTCCAATTTTTTAGACCAAAATAACCCCAAATCTAAATATCAGTGCAAGAATTAGTTGACCTATATCAAAGATTTTGAATCCGTTCATAAAACTCGCAGTATCAGGTGTAAAAAGCTCTCGTCGTGCCAAAAGAAATAAAACAACAATGCTTTTGCAAAATTTTGGGGGAGCAAACACGGTGTATGTTCAAATAGCGAATTGCACCTGAAAACCGCAAACTGAAGGATTCTGGTAGTTGCAGCTAGTCAAATGATGTCATCGTACAAATGTCCTGATTATTGAACTGCTCTTTTTTATTGGATAGTTCATGGAAAGGACCTCACAGAGGAAATAAGAAGTGAGACCAGCGGAGATCTCCAAACCACGTTAATAAAACTTGTTGAGGTAAGTCATATACTATTTGTAGATTTTTCCATTCTGAAGGTTTCTAATATTGAACTTTTTTTTTTTCAGGGAAAACGAAGCAGTTCGGAAAAGGTAGACGAAAACCTTGCCTATGAAGATGCCAAGAAGCTATTTGAGGTTAGCACGCATTTGATATGAGAAAAACGCTAGTAGGAGACTATAGTTTATATGAAATATGGCTCTCACCGTGGCACTTAGTTTTCACGTGCACATGCTCCAAAAGGCTGTTCGCATATTTTTCTACTAATACAAGCAATAGACCTATTCGGCTACCTCAATGTTGTACCCAATTCAAACCCTTTGGGAATAAAACGTTTTGTTTCAGGAATTTCCATATCATTTAAATGTGAATGCCACATTATAAATCCCCGGGAGATTTGAATTGGGTACAACATTGAGTTAGCCGAATAGGTCTATCAAGTAATACGATGTAGCTACAAAAAATATCCAAAGTTAATGGAAAAAGTCACAAGACAATGAAACAACAAAGTGTTCCTTGTGGACCCTAATTTATTTCTAGGATTATACTCCTCTGCCTGCCAGAGGGCATTATTTCGTTAAAAAGAAAAACACGCAAAAATAAATAATATCAAACTATCGGCTTTTTTGAATGGGTAGACCTCTCACGACGTGTATAAAACATGCGTACTAACGTGTTGCTTCAAAATTTTATTCCAGTGCGCGTGTGCATACCAATACTCTGTGCTTAAATATAAATGCTTTTAAAATGACTTACTAAGCCCTAAAAATCTCTTTCTTTACGTTCTACGTCACTTCAGGCTGGCGAAAAAGAGAAATGGGGGACAGACGAGTCTGTCTTTGTCCAAATACTTACAACGAGAAGTTTGGCACAGCTGCAAGCGACATTTGAAGCATACAAACATGTAAGTACAAAGCTGAAACAGTACACCCTGCTCGGAAGGAGCAAGTCTCCCATTTCGTATTTCACTCCGCGCCACACGAGGACTCAGATTATGTCCGTTGTGAGGCATTTTGCCTCATAATATGCCTTAACATTTTTATTGCTGAGTGCCCTAACTCTTAGAGACGATTTGCCCAAAACTTTGGGCAAAACCATTTAATATTCACTTTGCGTTGGCGACCATCGCTCAAATACATCTTCCCTTACGTGCTTCCTAGTATCTTATTAAAGACTACTTAATTCATTGGCCGTGCTTGGAATTTGTTTTCCATTGTGGACATTTTGGAATGTTGTGGTCAGCTAAGCCGGGAACCCTGGGTGTTCTGGGACAGTCGGGAAGCACTCGGAAGATCCGATCGTTTGCCGAGTGTCATTATGAGAGATGACAAGTGAAGAGCCTTATTCTAGTTCATAGATATACTGTGAATGAACAATTATATTATTATTAATATTATATTTATGATTAAAAAAGAGATATCAGCGGGCTTCGAAGATTTCTTGGTTCCAGAGCTCGCACAAACTGATCAGGAATTCCAAAACACCCGCCAAATAAAATACATTCCACGCATCAATAAAGCGAGCAATAATCGCCCGTCCGAACGTCCACCCCTTCATGTTACCGGATGCGATATGGAACACTTACTAGGTAGCTAATTGCTTAACTTGGTATTGGACATCCATGTTATGATCAATTGACAGCTGTCAAAAAGGTATCCGCTGACCAGTATCACATGACTGTATCGCTAACTTAGGTATACAACTCACGGAGGTGACGTATTTTTTAAAGTTATTCGCTGACCAGTTTTTGGTTTTAAATTGATCGCGGGTTCAGGTCCATCTTTTTAAAGATGGAATTCAGTTTGCTTTCTGCTTACGTCAAAAGTTGAATTACTTGAGAAAGACATTTCCTAAAACATCCCTCGAGACATTTGCTTTTGGCCTTGGCTAAATCACAATCTTAGCCTTGGGTAAACTGATTATCGCATGTGAGAGCTACCTGTCTTCTAACTTTGAAAAGAATCTCTCTAAAGTCATATGTCTCTTATCAACAGGTTGCCAAGAAAGACATTATGGACTCGGTAAATGATGAACTTACTGGAGATTTCCACGATTCCATTCAGGCAATAGGTAATGGACGTAATGAATAAAACTTTTTACGCGTATTAAAATAAACACGAAGTCCAAGTTTGGTAAGCCCTAATATCACCATTGATATTCTCATGACTACTTTCTATACCTTTGTTATGGTACTGATAAGGAGAGTTCACTTTTCCTTTTCCGACTCGACCTTTATATAAGACTACCCAGGGTTATAACAAGGAGAAATTAATGCTGAACACTTTCAGGGATAGTTTGGATTTCCGCCGCCAAACAGCGGTTGGAAATCGAGCTCATCTTAGTGGTAAAGGAATTCCACTAGTATCAGTAAACTGCAAACAAATTGACCTCCTAAAAGAGCGCAAATTAATTTGCACACACTAACTGCTCCATTGTTTCAGCAAAAGCGACTAGGTCACCACTAAGCGTAAGTGAGATGTACAACTTATTACATATAGCGTGATTGATTGACTGTTTTCCATGTTTTAAATTTTCCTTTAGTTCGTTGCACACGAAACCCTCCTCTATATTTTGCGGAAGTCTTAGACGATGCCCTTGGAGGTATATCGGCTGACAGCAAAGACATTGCTCGTGTTGTGATCTCAAGATCTGAGGTGAGTGGAAACTGAGTCAAGAAAGCGTAAAACAAAAATCTAGGGAAATAACTTGCACTAGTGCTTTAACGTGGACGAATTCTTTTTACTGCTCCATTAAGCGGAAATATTGAGCACAAAATGCTAACGAAATGGTGCCAATTATTTCTCAGTGTGTCCTTCAATGATTTCTTTCAGATTGATCTGGCTGATATAAAAGCCGAGTACGAGAAGATGAAAGGTATCCCTCTCAAACAGGTGATAGAGGATCGCTTGAAAGGAGACCTGGAAAAATTGCTGCTGCAAATTCTAGGAGACTGAGAAACCATTTTTTTCCAACCAATTTAATCATAGAGAAGCACTTGGACACGAAATTTGAACATTTCTATTTAAAAGACGTATTTAATTATAGAGTGAATGTATTTAAGTTAGAAATAGAATGTTAGCAGTATACATCCACTGCAAGTGAAAGAATACAGAAAAAATCCGTGAGTGAGAACCCGCATTTTCCCAACTTAGCCTAACAGGTTCTTACATAAATCAGGTAATTAGCACAAATTTAAGCTATTTTGGTTCTTATATAAGTGGGTTCTTATTTTCTGAAGAAAAATATATATATTGTAGCTTAGGGTATTTACTGGTATTTAGCTTATTCCTATTAGTATAAATTGCAGTTGAAGTGATAAGGCATCTATGTTTCTCCAAAGAGGATCTTGGATGTTGACTTACGTTTATTATTTTTTGCCCAAGTGTACAGAATTTTTTTTATAGATTTTAGAAAATAAGAAGTTGTTTCAAACTTTAGGCTAAACAGGTTTTTGTATAGAGGGCGCCTAGCTGGAAAATTGTAGCCTAAAATAAATAGGCAAAAAACCAGGTTCTTAGTTGCGGGTTTTTACTGTATATTCAGTTGTGGGATATTGAAGGAGGTCCGTTGTCAGGAATAAGGAATTATTGTACAAAATATATAACACCATTGCCTATTTATATATCACATACATACGCTATCAGGGCAAATTTTGTAAGAAGTTTAGTTTACGATTTGAAATTTTCTGGTGCGAAGGCAGACCACCCACTGGAATAGTATTATTTTCATGATTATGTATGTATTTGTTTTAGGTTTATTTTTCCAGAATAAACAAAAATTAGACTAATGTCTACATCATCAGAAGGTTCCAAAAATTCTCTACTTATCAAATCACCACTCCTTAAACTACTGGGAGAATGGATGCAAACGCTCGGGACAACGATTTCGGGTTGGACATTATATGCATTCCCCAATTATTGCTCATATGATAGCTCACGTTTGTCCAGTACCCAACAAACTATCCCAGAAGTCGTTGCTTTTCTCCCTTTAGTTTATTGAGTGGCAATTTTTTCACTGGTATAGATTTTTCAGCCGGTAAAGTTTGAAAACGAAAATACGCTTTGCATTAAAGACAAGTATGATCCATGATACTTTTTCAAACGAAAGTGATGTGAGGGCGACGCTCAAAAGCATAATGCTCAAGTTGGAAACACTATTGTAAACAAAGTAATAATTATAACAGTAAACAAAAAAGTAACAATTAACTAACAGTAAAATTGAACCAAGCGCTCCCTGGGTCTAAGCATGTAGCGTATTTATGTTTCCTTGGCAAATCGTAGGTAACTTAGTTAAAATTCCGAAAACCGGATTTTAATGTTACCCCCGTTTTCTCGGTCAAAAAAAGTGAATTTGGGGGCATTATCTCGGATAGTAAGTTCAGAACCCAGTATAAGTTCAACATTTGCTGCACCGAAATTAGAAAAAGTAATAACCCTTTTCTACTACGCAAACTGCACTCCAACTTATTTACTTCACAGCACTGCATTTATGGAGTACAGTTCGGACACTACGGTCGTTAAGGTTTATATCAAAAGAGGTGGAATAATGGTCCCATTTAATTCTCTTTTAGTTATATGCATGCCGAGAGATGGTTATTTCACCTCGAAAATTGACCAAAAATATATAAATATATAAATAAACACGTCACCCGCAAGTAAAATCAATCTGGGAAAAGGGGTAGGGTTGACTTGGAAAACCGTGCGCACCTCAGAAAAATTTTTAGCTACGGCCCTGGAACATATCTGACGATGAATTGGTTTCAACTGGTTTTTCGTTGGTCACAGGTAATAGGCTTACTGCGGGAATTTTTTGTTGGTCACAGGTAATAGACCTGCTGCATAAGCGCGATTTATAGGTTTCATATTGGAAAAGTTTTAATAATTCGAAAAAAATCGAATCGTGTCAACTTGTTAACACACTAACTTGGGCTGTACTTTGTGATTTGGGCCGATATAGTTTGCTCAGGAGAAAAATTAGGAGTGTAAAGGGCCGGGGAGAGAACTTCCCGTCAGAATATTCCGTATTGTGAGTTCCGCCTATACGAAACCGTATTAATTTTGCCGGACAGCAAACAACAGCTCTGTCAGTATCTTCTTTATTACTTTTTTTCAGTCAAAACATGACAAAGGCATACAAATATTTAAATATGCATAATGTGTTCCAGTCGCTTGCTTGTGAATTCATCATAACTTGGACTTCTTCATTCTAGAACGAAAGAGAAAGGAGGTGACTGAACTCAGTGATTAAACAGAGAAAGCTAGGGAGACGCTAGGGACTTATTCTGTTTTTATTAGGATAGTTGCGGTGTGGGAAAGCTGCTCTGATTTACATCAAAGGTCATACAACCCACAGGCGGAGAGATCTCCGACAAATGAATAATATTTAGTTTTGCAAATAATCGCTAAGAATGTAAACCTCTTTATACTACTACATGAGAAATTTCTGCAATTTGATTGGCTTAGAGCAGTGGTATTTCAGCTTAATTTGAAATACCTACATGTGAAAATTACAACCTTTTGTGGGTAGTTTAAGTATAAACAAAAAATAGCACGACTTGTAAGTGATGTTTTGCACAAATACCACTCGTAATATTTCAAAATTGTCCCAAATTTCACTCGCCTAACGGCGCGTGAAATTACGTATAACAGTTTTGAAATATTACTCGTGGTATTTATGCCAAATATCACTACTAATCATGCTATTACCTATACAAATAACTACTAATCAGCACATGCTAACTTAAGATGAGCCGCAATACATACACACATACTTATAACTTTATTTAAACTAGGATTTAGAATAGCTGGAGAGAGCTAGTATCAGTCCGAGTGTAAAAATCTGATTTAAGAAATGCAACAAAATTGATAAAGTAGGAAGGTATAAAATTACTACGCATGCGCATATTATTAGTCTTGTCTTCAAAAAATATATATATCTACATCACACAGTAATATTACGAATAGCGCGCTTAAAAGCAATGAGAGTTTCAGAAGTTCTTATGTCATCAGGTAGCGTTTTCCATACTTGAGGAGCAACATATATGAACGATTGTAATCCATAGGAGGTTGTAGTACTTTGTTGGTCTAGTAGATTCAATTTTAGGGTTCCACGAGGTTGTACGCTGTTGTTCTTTCTTTCAGTAATGAAATAGAATATTTAGTCTCGTGACAACGTAAAAATACAGTCAATTGTGATACGCACCAAGTTACGAAAGCCTAGCAGTGCAACCATTTCTTTCACACATCGCCACTTTACACAGCGAATCTGCAGACTTCTTTTTGTCTTCGCATTGCTTCTTTATTTCATCAAGCATCTTTCTGCTTGAACAGAACCGTTGGAGAAGGAACAAAGAACGCGATACCTGTTTTTCTCCAGCCACACACACCAACTCATCAGGTGCGCATGCAACCATCCTTTTGTTATTGTCACACGCCTTATTCGCTTCGTCTCTAGTCTTTCCAATCCCAGCGCAGGAGGGGCAGTTAAAGGCTGGTAAGCAAAACAAAATAAAGTTATCGTTTCAGAACTTACTGCCCTTTAATTCGCAATATCCACATACAAATTCCTCAAACCGATCTCCATATATTTTCTTAATTAATTAGGTGAGATAATTTCAACTGATAAAAAGTTCAAAGAATTTTCCCTTTGGGGATCATTTTATCGATTCTCTTTTATTGATTATGTATTGAAATATATTGTTAGAAGAATATTGATGTTGATCACAACACTGCTCTTAAAGGGTTAACCTCGATCCCTGAGAGGGCAGCGTTTAGGAGTTTTTGCTTGTGTAAACGCTAGTTTGGGCGCTAATAGTTTAGCTGGTAGGATGCTATCAAGAGGGCAACAAGGATTATTTGATAGTTTGTGAGCTGAGACTGGGTTCTCATCGGACGAGAAAGCATTTTTCTAATATCGTAGTTAAAGCGTTTATGGCTTACTACGTGATGAAACTGAGTGGTTAAATAAAAAAAGAAACTTCTCTCGCTCTCTAGTATCGTCTACGATGCTACTGCTTTACCTTCGTTCACATGGAATAAGTACATCACAGTGCATACATGAGCTAGTAATCCCAACTTCATTTCGACTCGAACACAGGACCTGATATTAGGAACAAAAAAGACAACAAGCGGGCTGATATACCCAACCATCTTGACTGAACAAGCTTGAAAGCCAAATACAAGAAATCATGAGCGGGCAAGATGGTCCATCTTACTCTCTCGGGTAGCCAATCAGAAAACAGGATTCGCTGCAGTCGTCTTGCCCGCTCGCGGATTCAGCCACATGATAACGAAACTTTACTCACCTTCGAACACGTCGAATATGCCGTTACAGTCAGAAACAACAGCAGAGAATGAAAAATGTCAAAAGGAACGTTTCTTAAAAGAGGCGAATTAGAAAAAGTGACATTCCAAAACGTTTCTTACTTCACTTGGTAACAAGGCTATAAATTTAGAGCCCAGTCAATGCTTTTAATATAGGCGGTATCTTACTTCAAAAACTTAATTGACTTTGGTGAGACTATCAAAAATAAAGTTCCTTTTGCTGACCAAAACCTTACTGGACGAGAAGAAACACTCCACTTGTAAATACAGGCAACAGGACTCTTGATACAGATTGCTACATTCGAGTCGACACGCTCATTAACTCAGTGTTAACTTATATATTTTGTACTGACATGAAAATGTTTAGTTAAAGCCAACCGTAGACAAATACCATGCTTAGATTAAATCTGTGCGTGGTATTTATTAGTCAACTAAAGTGCGCGAGAAAGACGCACCATAGCCAGATGCATGTTTCAGGTTTGGCGCACAAATACGCTCTAGTAAATTAAGAAATAGCCACTTGCCTTAAGTGGCATTTTCATTCAGTAAATCATTATTAAGTGATCACCGAAGTAAGTAGTATAGAATGATTATCTACTCTGTGTTTTTAACAATGCTAAAAGAATTGTGGAATATCAGAACTCAGTCAGCAACGCCTTACTCAAGACCTCACGGCAAAGCAATGTCAAAGTGCTCATTCTTTGCTAAAAAATGAAATTAGAACTATAGTTAACTCCTTCTATATAGAGTTTAGACCAAGCGATCTTATTGTTGAACCTTAGACGACTTTACAATAAACATAACAACAACGAAATATAAGAAGGGTTATTGCTTATTTGTTATCTTAAATAATTACCAAAGATTCCTGGGTTTTTTGCTCTAGTCATTATTGCTGTTTTATGTCTCATTTTGCTTTGTAGTAAACTAGTACTCAGAATAAAAACAAGTTTGATAACATAGGCTCGAAAAGTGGCTAAAAATGTCTTTTATGAAAGGCATTTTTGATAACTAAGAACATAGACAAGGTTATTGGGTTAAAAGGGTTATTGCTTATTTGTATTATTAGATAATCACTGAAGATTCCTGAGTTTTTGCTCTTGTTATTATAATTGCTGTTTTATTTTTCACTTTGCTTTGGAGTAAACTAGTACTCAGAATAAAAACAAGTCTGATAACATAGGCTCGAGCTAGAATTGGCTAAAAATGTCTATTATCAAAGGCATTTTTGATAACTAAGAACATAGACAAGGTTATTGGGTTAAAAGGGTTATTGCTTATTTGTATTATTAGATAATCACTGAAGATTCCTGGGTTTTTGCTCTTGTTATTATAATTGCTGTTTTATTTTTCACTTTGCTTTGGGGTAAACTAGTACTCAGAATAAAAACAAGGCTAATAAATATAGGCTTGAAAATTGGCGCAAAATGTCTATTATCAAAAGCATTTTTGATAACTAAGAAATGATAGAGGGACTTTTTAACGTTTTAATCACCATGCAAATTCAAGCCAAATTCTCGAACGCTCTTCCTTTTCCTTGACAACCAACTTAGGAAAACAGAAAAATCTCAAATACCTTTTCCTCAGTTTAAAACTTACCTCGCTTCAATGTCATTGACCCAAAAAATAGTAAGGTAAAACATGATCTCGGAGAGTCATGGAAAGGACCTAGTCAGCCGGTCCGGCTGTGGTCGTGCATTTTGTGTTTGCAGAAAGCAGTTTACACAAAATCTTGGAAGTGTTGTCTTTAAATGCTCCCCATTGAACTAGCTTTAAATTTGGCGTGTCACTGGAAACACTTATGGAAATAGATAAAGTAAAACACAAATAGCAGATAACTTTAAAATAGGAAATAGCGTTTTCAGGGTGACTGTATAAGCTGATGCATTCATTCCTGTTAAAATTTGATAAATATACCGACACTCAGACACTGTTCTCAAAGTTTCTTTTTTATAATTCTTTCGAATCCATGTTGATGAATTCTTCATTTTATGACAAAAAAAAAGAGAAAATTATTTTGAGGATGAGGAACTGGGGCCCGTTTCTCGAAAGTGCCGATAATTAACGGGCCCGTAAAGGTGTCGCTGGTTTCGTACAAGATGGCGGTTTCAATAGTTTTGCATCTAACATGATAAAACTATCAGTTAATGACACAAAATGGAGCAGTTTGTTTCCCCGGACCCGCGCTCTTATTCTTTATATTTCGATTTGAAGATTTGATTTCAGGCCCGAAACGTTACCGGGACTTTCGAGAAACGGGGCCCTGGTCTTTTTGGAAAATTAAAAGCATAAACTACGTCGCTATTAACAAAGATTTCGGCACTGAGGATCCATTGAGAGGTTGCAAAATTATACGCTTATTTATTATATGGAGGAGAGTGTTTTACTGGGAACTAAACCACTCGCAGATTCCATACGCCACTTCATCCGGGACCCGAGTGGCGTATTTTCCGTATGTCACCTTTGTGAGTGTCGTATCGTTCAATGACGTCTCGATTCCCGCCTTTTGCTTTTGTTGAAATGGTTTCTCCATATAATAAAAAGAACATTACACGTTGGCTCGAAGATATGAATTTTATGTTCTCGTGGCAAAAACAATATCTCACTCGTTCGCTTCGCTCACTCGTGAGATATTGTTCTTGCCACTCGAACATAAAATTCATATCTTCTCGCCACCGTGTAATATCCTCTATTTATATTTGTTAAAAATAGACTAAACTAACAGGAGCGCATCGATACCCATCGATCTGTAAAATTGCATTTCAAAAGCGCTTCGTTTTCTGCAGATAACGGCCGAACTTTAAGATTGTCCGGTTTTCACCGTAATTCTAACCATAAAATATTCACTCCCAAAATCTCTCGATAACGCTTACAGCTTTCGACAAAACATCACAAACATCGAAGTGGCTATTGTAGGAAAAGCTCCCGTGAACGATTTTGAAAGAAGGTGTTCCCAGTGCCGAGAAATACGGCTGTAAGTAAAACAGGTACAGTGGAACCTCGATATAGCGGAGTGCCAAGGGACTGGCAAAATTTGTTCGCTAAAACGAGGTTACGTTATGTCGAGGTACTTTTCCATATATTTTCCTGTTACTGGGGTACAAAGAATTGTTCGTTATACCAAGGACTTCGTTTAATATACAGAGATTCGTTTACTTATATCGAGGTTCCACTGTAATGACGTCATTTCTTTGCTGTGACTACTCCGATGTCGTTGTAAACCTGATCATAACAAATTTTCATCTTTACCTAATTCAGCTGTGGTTGTAGACTTGCCACAAGTCGACCTCTCGTCAACCAAACAAAAAAATGATAATAATAAAGGACTTTTAGAAAGTCTTCTGTGGTGGTAATTTTCCTGTCTTTTTTATTGGAGACGTAGTTTATGCTCAAACTTCGAAGGTATTGACCCTGAAAAACCCCATCGAGCCACTTAAGCCTCTTTTTTAATGTTTTAACCTTCATTTTAAAGAGTGAAGGTTGAGACGTGGAACACTTCAAAATCACAGAGCACATGTACAAATAAATAATAAGTGTATTGTATTTCATTTCCCCACACTAAGATTGTTCTTACATGAACCAAGAGAGAAAGAGCTGACTTATTCTCTCTATGAACCCTATAAATCGCGCCGTTACGCAATATTTCGAGTTGTTTAAATATTTGGACTGGTTTGCACCAAGAGAGGATGAGCTTTAAAGAGTCGTAAAAAAGTATCAATTCCCTAATCTTTCAACACAGTAAAATATAACCATTTCTTATCAGATTTCAGACTTTATTTTCTGACTTGAAAAAAGGCAAAGTTTTGACACACAAACACATACAGTCAAATGCAGTCACACTCAGACAGCTCTTTATGGCTCCATCCTTTTAAAGAGACGGTCTTCGTGTAATCTGTAATAAAAAGAAAGTATGTGCATAGTAAGTTTGCTATAATCTAGATAACTGTCCTTTTTGACTTAATGAAGGGGTTGGGTTAAAGGAATCTACAAGGCAATGGTTTTGCAGTACTGATCGCGAGAAGAACTTTTGTTGAAAATAATCAATTGCCTCCACTGACAAGGTTCAGTCTATTACTTCCGTCAAAAATTGATTAATATTCAGCGGCGTCAATTTTTCCAAACCAATTTATCCTGCTAACGAATTGTATCACGTATAATTAGGACCTTTATACCCGAAAAACGACTTTAAATGGCAAGGCTTTGATTTTAAACTCCCGCTAAAATACTGGTCGCCAGAGGAATGAAAATTCGTATAAGAATACGTAATGAATATGAAATTTAAACAAATGAGGGGGAGGGGCAATATTTAATGGCCTATACGGGTATATTAAAGGAATATCAAGGGTAGTAATTTCGCAGTTGAAGGACATGAAAGGGTAGGGCAATCTGTCATTTGAGTCTGTAAAAGGACCAAAAACGATTACAGATGATTTCATGGCTGTGAAAAGGACAAGAAAACATTCCTGGCTTATTCATTTACTAATGAGGGTGTTACTACAACAGTTCAGTAAAAGAGATGCAATGTTCTAAAGTAGGTGTGTGAATTAAAGTGGTACCATTTATCAAAAGAAGGTATTAATACAAGTTGTACCTTTTCAATCAAATATTGTATATAAAAGGATAGGGGGTTGGACCTCAGGTAGGGCCCTCCCTGTGTACAGGCATTGTTAAGTACGTCCCCTGGGATCGATTATCTTAAGGGCTTTGTCCTTGTAGAATTGGGACCTTAAGCAAAGACGACGACGACGACGGCAGTGAAAACGTCGCTAGAAAAGTGAATTTGCTTTCTTGAAAACTTAATCGCGTCTATTTGGACCCGTTCAATATGTTAAATGCAGGTGACTTTTCCTGGGGTTGAATTCTTAAGGATTTTATTCAAGTTCAAAAAGCGGAAGGAGACTTCGTCGTCGTATGTCCACGTCCTCGATAAAAAGTCAAGTTAGGAGGTTTTACGTCGTAGTCGTGCAGTGGACGTCAAAGAAATGTACTAAAAAGCTTGATGCACGTGCAGAGCTGTTGTTTTGATCATTAAACCTATTGTTTTTTGAAGTTGTCGTCGTCGTCGTAGTAGCAGTTGCCTAAGCTCCCTAATAGTTTCCTCCGGCCGGCAGGGTTTCTTCTTTGTTTCAGTGAGCTGAATATCTTTCTGTGGCTTAGCTTCCTCATACTTTTAGTTAAACCTTTTCTACTGTTACATTAACCCTTTAAACCCTAAGATCAAAATTTGAATTCTCATTTGTTGCCCCTATTCATTTCCTACAGAAGTAGTGGGGAGAAGTTGATAAAATATCAAGCAAATTCATCTTGTGTGATCATGTCTGTAATTCTCATGACCACTCTTTTTTACAAAGCGTTGATATTACACGGAGAAATTTGATGCTAATCATTCTTAGGGCTTAAATGGTTAAATTGAAAGTCGGAAAACCCAGGAGGGGAGGTGGGAGCTGATAATTTATCGGTTTTATTTTTTTAACGGGACAAACTATAATACTGAGAGAAGTAAAGCAATTACCAAAATGAAGCGAAGCACTCGTTTTTCTCGCAGAATGCTATCTTTTCGAGCCCAGACCAGCCTTTGGACTTTTCGTATGCAAAACGAGTCATACATTTTCGATAATATTTGCCATTTTCGCCTTTATCTTTCTCTAAAGTGCAAACGTTAGAGAATGGTTGGCGCCTTGGGCAATCTTCCATTTCCCTCATCCGGTCACATTCTTCTAGAGTCTTTGCTTTACATTTAGGACATCTGTAAACACCAACTGAAAATATATTGAATGTTAGCTACAAGGAAAGACAGGGTTAATTGGCTCAGTCGATAGAGCGCTTGACTGCAGAGCGGGAGGTCGTGGGTTCGATCCCCGGAGCCGGACCCGACTACCCAGGGTCTTAATATAACTGAGAAATGGAAGTACTCCCTTTGCACTGCAAGCGCCTAGACTTTCGCGTGGCTCGTGTAATCACGTAAAATTACGGTCCCAAAGTAATGTCCGCAATTAGCACTTTTGTGCTAAAAACATTGACATTCAAATTATGCATTTTTTTTGTGCAGAGCTTTCCTGTGTATCTTTGTAAAAGGCAACAACGAAACTTAGGGTCGGCAAAATTCCATGACAGATTTGAATGAAATCGTCCAGCGAGCAGCCATGCACCATGTCTCGCTGTGTGTGTGGGCAAAAATATCCCGTCAGACAAGAGACTAAAGGCTATGACAAGGATCAATTTACCTGCTGTGAAGGTGAAATTGGCCAAGCATTGATCTTCCATGCAGATTCCAAATTTCTCAGCCCTGACTCTAGTAAAGTCGCTGATGCAAGTGCGAGAGTAGAAATCTTGGTTATACTGGATTACAGCGCAAGCAAATCTGTCGCTAAAGAAACTGCGGCAAGTTTTCAGTTTGATGTTACCATTGCAATCCTCCAGAGAAGTCATCGATGAACAGGAAGGACAATTTTTGACTGAAATTGTAAACATATCATTGAATGCAATTAGCTAACATTGCGTTGAATCCCCAATGTAAGACAATCCGGATTCCAGGCCAGAGGAATCCAAAAAATGTTTGCTTGAAGCATCTCGAAATCCTGGGCTTCGCAATCCAAAACCCAAACCTAGAAATCCGAAATCCGTGGTCCAACAGTTCCACTGACAAGGACTCCAGATTATCCAATTCATGAAATCCGGAATCCAAAAAGTGGAATTCAGAATCCAAAAGTGTTTATCATAAAAATAAAACTATGAATTTTGAAGTGAAGGGAGAACAACCAGCTACAAAGTATATCTAAATCAACTGAACAGACTAAAAAGTAGAAAAATTTCATCATCTTAAATCACATCCCATATTTTCTGATGCTCGGCAAAAATGGAATGGCACGAAGACTGCAGTGTGGATTATTATACCTACCCCTCCCCAAAGTCACCATTTTGCCCTATGTGAGGAGTAACTGTTAATATTGGCTTCCGGGATGAGTAGGTGGGCAGTCTCCCAGAAACGTATAATGATCATGGAGCTCACCTACCCCTCCCCTAAGCCAACATTGTTCCCTATGTGAAAACTAAGTGTCAATGATCAGGCTGAGTTAGATTACTCTACATGGGGCGAGTTGAAAGTATTATCACCTAAACAGTGCTCAACAATCGCAACGCAACAACTCAATTAGGGTACTCCCTATAATGCTTACAGTTATGCGTTGCATCTAAGCCGTGTATACCTGACGGAAAAACATGTCCTAATTGGGTGCAAATTTATCTCGCTTTGCCGCCAAACATTCGAAGTTTGGGGCAGGCGGCTGTTGTCTACTTTATTCGTTTTCGCTCAACAAAATGTTCTTTCCAAGAAATTTAGAAGTTAAGAATTTTTTGTTTTTGAGTCAAGTGTGCGAGAAATGTGAGTGAAATTAAGTTGAGAAAAATGAAATATGGGTGGAACGCGCTGATCAAAAACATATAAACAACTTAAGGTACGGAAAAACGGGCAACAAAAAAACGTGCAACTTGTCTTGCAACATTGCTACAAAACGAGTTGAATAGTGACGTTGTGCGTTTTACCACCCATGTTCAAACCTGTTAACAACCTGATTCTGTAGCAAGACAAGTTTGATGTGGGTATTAAAACGCGCAACACGACTACGAAGATGACAATCGCTGTCAACAACAGTCCTAAGACTACGTTCACCCGGACGATCTTGCTAAACCTACTTATGACTGAATATATTAATAACCATAATCGCACATACCAGTAGTACTGAGCTGAGCATTGCACCCAGATTCGTCACACATAGCCACGGCACAGAAATCATCGAAAGACGATGACCTATCACAGCGCCTTTCGATTGTGTTAAGATCGCCTCTGCTTGCACAAAAACGTTTGACATTGTTCTTTCTTCCGGAATAATCAAGGTAAAGGACGCATACGGGGTCTTCTATGTCAGCTTTGCATTCTTCGGTCGTTGCATTTTTGTGGCATTCTTCAATCACTTTACCCAACCGATTTCCAGACGCTGCGCAAGTCTGGCACTCAAAGGCTAGTAAATCAATAAAAAGAAAAGTGTCAGCCAATATGTCTACTTTTCAGTAAGTAACCTGATAAAATTTGACCCACTGTATACCTGGCTGGCATACACTTGTGATCAGTATCTAAGTTTACTTTGTTAACCATATTCCGTCCGTTTTTTACTAGCTTCCAGCAATCGGTGTGGGGCTTTGGAGGTCCCCCTCTCTAACTTTAAAACTTCTCGTGATACGGCCTACATCTTGACAGAACCTAAATTTCATCAAACTTTCTCCCTGAAGAAGCCGTGAAGATAAAAATCTAACAATTAATGAGATTTATATGTCTGATAAAATCATTAACTTGGCTAACGGAACAATAATTTAGCAGCTATGTCGTGATGACGCCATTTGTTATTAAAGAAGGAACTGGAACCATCTGCCCAATCGATCTTGGATCTTGTGAATTAATTTACTTCATTTCATGACTACTAAAGTACGAGCGCTCTGATTGGCTGCTAAGCGGGCATTATATTTTTGTTATGACCGGGCATTACTTGCATGGTGTCCCAGGATATACAGTCCATGTTATGGTCAATTTACAGCTGTCAATAAGATACCCGCTGACCAGTGTCACATGACTGTATCGCACGTTCAAGTGTACAACTCATTGAGGTACGCGTGTTTTTTTTTAAGTTATCCGCTGGTAATTTGGTTTTGATGTATTGACCTCAGAACAATCTGCTCCTATCTGGTATGAAATGACCTCACTCTCGGTTAATAAGTAGTATGTATTCCATTTTACTTAAATCCTGTTGTGAAAGGAGCTGTAATGGACTCTTGCGGTAATCTTTATAGAATATTTGATTAAGAAGCAACGTCATCTGAAAGAAATGAACACTGTTGAAAATGGAACCCAGCATCTGCCATTTGGTCATTTGAAATTTTTTTTTTCTCAAATTAGTCAACAAATAAAGCCTGGATTTCATTACCGGTTATAATAAAATAGATCCGAGTAACATAAAAATCCAATACATAAAACTAGAAGGAATTTTTTTTTATAGGAAGAAAAGCAAATTTTAGAAACAAGGCTGTCAAAATATAATTGCCATGGTAACATCAATATTTACGACACGTCACTGTTGGGATCAGGACCAGTGCAGAGTCTGGATTCGAGTATCACTCTCTAGTTATCCCATGATGCCCTCCAAGTCGGGATTCCCGAAATCCTTACTTGGACTCCCCAACCTCTCCATCGTACAAGAGCACAAAAATACCATGCTTACCTTCGTTAATGTGAAACAGGTACACTACAGTGATCACAAGACACAACAGTCCCAAACGCATTTTTGACTTGTTCACCTGCCAGAGAAAAGCACACTGGAACATTAACCCAGGCCTGGAGTACTCCAAGAAATTTTGGGGGGTGCATGTTTATCATATACCAACCGATTCTCTAAAGACCCTTTTTCCTGACTAAAATATATTCGATGTTTTGCACACTCATTTTCAGATCTGGGGCTCGTTTCTCGAAAGGCCCGGACACTTTTCTGGCTCGAAGGCAAATTCATAAAACTTGTAGCACTGTTCATAGCTTACAACCAGTCAAATTTGCTTCGTTTACTGAAAGTTTCATTGTATCATTGTCAAAATTTGTTAAAACCGTATATCTTGAATGTAAATACAGCGAACACGAAATAGGTTTCTGCAGGAGCCGATTACTCCCGGTTTCTGGGCCCGAAAAGCTATCGTGACTTTCGACAAACAGGCCCCAGGCCCCAGGCCTCTAAAAACGTCATAATCATTACCTATATTAGAACGCCAACCACAAGGTTTTTGTTTTTGTTTGTTTGTTTTTTTTTTTCACATGAAGAACTTTCTATCTTATTCATTCGAAACTGAAATGACAAGAAAAGCACTAGAACACCCCCGAAGTTCCCTCGAACTGAACCATACCCGATTCCAAAACACTGATGGGCAAAGCTTATCACTGACCCGTTTTCAGACCGAGACGACGCAAAATCATACCCTTCAGGGCAAGCGGGGGATCCAGGATTAATCTTAGGAGGGGATAAACCACTAGGGATTCGAATGGTGGCGTAACTGACTGGTAACGTAAACAATTTTTAAAATGTGAATACGAAGAAGAAGACTTTTGACTAGGCAATAACATGATGTGAACTACTGCGATACATATCAAACGATACAGCAGCTTTTGTATAACGGTAAAGCGGACTGCATAATGTTAATGCAATGCTCTAAAAGTAATGTGTCATTTTTGTCGTCATCTCAGGGGGGAGGGGGTGCGCACCCCCTGCACCCTCCCCCTAGATCTGTTCCTGCTTGGGGTGAGTTACTGAGTTACCTATCTGAGTTTCCCTTGGTTATATAAGGCCGAGTACCCCCTCTCGATATTAAGCATGCTAGTCAAGGTAACAATTAAACTGAGTAGGCTTCACCAAGAGAGAGCGAACTAAGGAAAGACTAAAAGCTTAAATTTTTTTCTCTCTTGAAAAGGTCAGGGAGCCTAGGCCCCGGTTCAGACGCCGATCTTTTCATGAGCCGAACCTAATTCGAATTAAGGCCTACCCAAATTATTTAGACCGGCTGGATTGATTCAGACGCCGATCTTAATTGCAGCTGAACTAAGTTAAAAAGGCGAAAATGCTCATTTCGGTCAAACTGGTTACAAATAATTTATGCATTAGGTTCGGTACATGAAAAGTTGGGCGGCTAAACCTGGCCTAAGCGTAAAGATCGTGAAAGCTAAAAAACATGAAACGAGTCCTTGATACTTTTGATCCAATAAGTTCTTATAGATTGAGCTGAGCTTGTAGGGGTACAGATTTGGAGAGATGTCCAAAGAGACAAGAAGTTGAGTTGAAACTCGGTTTGTTTGCTTCTTACACAGCTCGTAGTAGACTAGCCGGGCCTTTAGTGGAGTGTTCAGATGATCTGATCCATATTGGGAGGCATACTCTTGCCCTCCAACATAATGGCCAAAACTACTTTTTTTGCTTGTATCTTAATTGTTAAAGTTTGATAGTTACGCTCAGATGGGCTGAAAACGTTACCAAATCATCTTTTCAACAACTTCCTTGAAGTTAATTAAGTGCAAAATGTCTGTTTAGAAAGAGGTAATTCATAGTTTTAAAAATCACACAGTTTGGTCACCTGACCAGCTACGAACTTCCTCATTTTCAGAAAATGGTGCAGGTTTGAAAAACTAAATCACTATTATTTTGTTTAAGATCCTAACCCACTTATCGTTTTTTGAAGGCAAAATCATATAACTTTCATTTTCATAAAAATGATGTGACATGATCTCTTAAGGCAAATGGCCTATTCTTGTGCACAAAGAGGTGTCTGCAGATTGAGATTTTATTCAGCTAAGAAAGGCTGCTCGTGGTAGAATTTCTAAAAACAGAGATCACTTAATGACTGAATCCCGATACAAGAATCCAAACCGCTAGTTGGGCGGCGGTAAGTTTTCTTAAGATTCTGTCCAAACAGATTCCAGTTAACGCGTTTGAAAAAATGAGTAAAATTTGGCTGAGAATGCGTGGTTCAGTTGAGAACAAAGAACTAGAAAGGTGTTGAGACACGACTGGCCTAAACAAAATGTTAATGAGATCTCGAAACTAATCATTATTCTTCGGAGGAGACGTGAGATCGAACGATTTCGATATCGTAGCTGCAAACACCTGTTATGGTGGTACAGGGGCGGATCTAGGGGGAGGGTGCAGGGGGTGCGGAAGTACGTGGGCGGAATTGAAGAGCCCATAAAAATGCCTGATGGAACGGCTGTGAACCCGAATAATTAACCATTCAATGTAAGCATCAAAGTACGCTCCGGAGTCAGTTTAATCTCACTCCCCAGAAACAAATTTCTCATTTGATCAAAGTAAATTCAGCTTCGGGGAAATTTCCATGATTTGCAACCACTGTACTAATAAATAAACGCTCCTCCGTGAACGAACTAGCTGACAAGGCTGCAGCAAAGTACCGTTGAAGTTTACAGTTATTTTTCTATTCAGGGCTTTAGAATACGTTATTACAGTATATCCAGTAAAAGGTATGTCGCAGCGAAAAGTCAGAACGATTTTTGAACTGTTGGGCAACTACTGAAAAAGGAGACTTACCTTTCGTTAACTTTACAGTGGTAATAAGACAAGAAGTATGACTGATTAAATGATAACTGAAGACGCAACTGTTCGTCAGTGGTCTTAATACTTGGAAATTGCATTGATTGACACTTCAGATTAACGAGCAGACGCCAAGACCAAATAAGGGACGGACCATTAGAAAAGTTCTTATCTGTGTTCGTCCCTAGGGAAATCATCAAATCGGCTTTGTATGAATCTTGAAAGGAACTTTTTACAATAACTATAGTGAAGCAAAACCGGTCATTGAATAAAAATGGCCATAACAGTCCTTTTTCATAATTTAACTGATTTTGCTCTAATTAAGCTTACAATCCTGACCACCTTCATTAGTCTGCTTTGAAAATTCGGGACATGTCGACAGTGGTACAACAAAATCCCAACGGTCAGCAGTTGTAATAGGTCATTAAATCTTAGCTTCTTTGCACTGTCTCAATTAATGGAATTGACAACTTTCAACAGTCATTACATATTTCTGACTTCTAAGATTCATTCCACTTCAGCTAGATGAAATTGTTAAGCCGAAAAAATGTTAAGCGCGCGATATTGAGCGCGCGAGTTTCGTCCTACAATTTCAAACAAAACTTGCCCTTCAAACGAAAGGCTCATAAGTCACTCCTTTTGTTCTAGCCTACAGAGCAGACGTTTTTGTGCGGAATCCCTGAGGTACATTGATCGCTGCAGCCATCTTGAGAAGCAAAAAAATAAGACTAACGGAGGAGGGGCGGGAAAGGGGGTTGGGGAGGGGAGGACAAAAGAAAAATGCTTGCCAGCAAAGCCCAGACGGGAGAGAAACAGAAGCGAAGGGGCCGCGAACGACCTCGGAAGTCTGAGAATCGGGCTAACGACTTCATTGCGTGCTGGGAAATAGACAGAATTTTTGACACGAATGGTTTGTCAGAAGAAGAGCTTTCTGCTCAAACTTACAGTCGGTCATTTTCCTGTTGAAGGCTTCAGAATCACAGCTTCAATCTCATATCGCAGCGAAAAGTCGAAACAAGTTTTTACGTAAACATTTGGTTGGTATCAAAAAAAGAGAGAGATTTACCTTTAGCTGAATCAGTAGCCTGAGACAAGAACTGCTGAACTAAAAGATCATAGAAGACGCCCCCCATGATTGCTTTATTTCTTTTATTGGTAAGTGATTGGCATTCATTTTGGGCAGACGGTTAAATACACCGTGACGAATGATGAAAAAAGAAGTAAAATCCTTAGCCAGAGTATCAGGCCTTCCTAAGGGGCTAGGTGAGAGGAGATTTTACCCTTTTTCCCAGAAATGCCTCATACTCAGGCTATAAAATCCTCTAAACAGAAACCTTAAAGGACCTTTTCTCCAAAGTCAACGAAGCATAACCGGTTGATTGAATAGAAAGCAATATTTGCTTCTCAACTAACTGTACCTCCGTTGCTTCAGTCAGGGTCTACATATTAGATTCCCTTTTCGTTCGTTTCGCAAATTACCAGATTCCTTGCTTCTCTCTATAGATTCGCTTTTCACATTCATGTAAATCTGTGAATATTTCATTATTTTAAAACAAACCATTCCATGTGATGGAAGCGATAAAAATATCAAAATAAATACATTGAGTTCGCTGATTATTCTTCTTTTTAAAGCCCGCGTTTTACTCTGAAATTTTAGTGCCCTGAACAAATCGGTACTATGTTATGGCCTTTGGCCCTATTCAATCATTTTCTTGGCCTATATACAGTCTGATCTGATTCGAACTCTGCATAGACATGTCAAGCAATGTTGCACCAAAATTCGCACGTCAGCCATGCTACAACGGATAATTAAGAAATCTCAGCCTTTTTTTAGGATTTGACCCATTGATTGCACGCCCTTAGGAATGAACAGCAATATATTATTTGAGTTACAAATTAAATTGCGGAAGACTGAAACCACAGTTGTGACTTTTCCTATATTAACCTGACAATCTGTCGCACCTTGCTCTGGTATTTTCGTCATCCTTCGTTTGAAGTGGTCCTCAATACGACTATAGGGAGCTTAAGCAACGACAAGTTGAAATAGAAACTAAAACTGAAATGGGCGTCTTCAAGCCGGTGGAACATGTGCCATTTTCTGGGCGGCTGTGCCGCGCGCGCTTTACAGTTGAATTTATTTCTTTGAACCATTCTGCATATATTACATTCAGCATAATTATGCTATTCCGTACTCATACCATGCCACATATTCTGCATTTGACCCTCGCCGCCCTGGTGTTTGCTATGTAGGTCACAACAAAATTTTTGTCCGCATTGTTGACCCAAAAATGTTGCACGGGAGTTGTTGCATCCATTTGCATGTAGCTGTGGTCCTGTCTTCAGTAAGGGTAGTAGAGAGTGGACATTTTTTAATTTTACTTTCCACTTTTCACTGATCAGGCAAGTCTCTGAACAAATAAACGGCTTAATCAAGAATTTTACAGAGCAGTTTTATTTACTCTGATCCGATGGCTTACGTGGCCACTGGTATATTACGCCACAAGAGATTACTGCACCCCGTCCACACTAAATGTCTTCGCAGAAACTTTTGTTTGGTGATGTTGTTGTTGCTGTTACAATGTGTGTGTCCCATACTGTTCTAAGACTTTCATGATACGACATAGCGTCGTTTGAAAATGCCCCGCTTTTCTCCACGGACCATAAAACTATAGACTTCCTCTTACAAAAGCGTCCAGTTTCAGTTCGACTGTTTTCCAAAACTTCTGTCTTCTGATGCATCCGTTTCAGTTTCATCGTTTCAGTCGATTCAAGGTCAAAAAGCACAAAAATGTATGCGTTTTAGTTAACAAGAAAACACTTACGGGGTCTAAGAAATTCACACAATGATGAGAAGTGCCTCTACCGTTGAAGCCAAATGAAGGCAAGTGTTTATTTAGTGACTCGCGTCTCCTGAAAGTTCTTTTTTTTTTTGTACAATTTCAGTAAGAGTAAACATAAATGGAGTCACCAGCCCCATAGAGCAATCCCGGCATGCCCCCCTTCCCGCCCCATTCCTCTGAATAGTAAAGAGCAGGAATGGAACTCAGTGACTTGTCCACATCGTTGGGAAATGGTATTGAGTGAAGCAGTTCACCGCTTGACACACTCCATATACGGGTCACTGAATCTTGTCCAGCTGAAAAAGAAAAGAACAGTGTTAAGATTCCTTTAAAAAACGCTCGACTTTTAAATTAGTAAATGTGGATTTTTCTTGATTGTCTTCTCAATGACGCAGCAATAGTTATCAAAAGGAATCGTGTTTACGCGACGATTGAATTTTTGATTTGTTTGTGTGGTGCTTCTTCGAACTCCGAGTTCGTAGGAATGGGCCATTTTCACGATGACGACATCTGGCTACAACTACCAAAATTCATTTCGTTTTTGCTTTCTTATTTAAATTTGTCAATCCTGCTAAGGTTTAAAAAACAATAGCCCAAATTTACACAAGAAAACAACAAACTGAAGAATTCTGGTAGTTGTAGTAAAATGACGTCATCATCCAATCGCCCGAACGCAGTCTCACATGTAGCCCTTACAGGCATTAACTTGATCCTTTTCTTTCACCTGAAATTGCTCATTTATTTCCTTAGCATGACAGCCAGAGTGCGTTCGATGATAATAATTTTAAAGGCTTTAAAAAACCTAAAAACTTACCCGCAAAGATGAGAGAGTCGCTAGCGTCGAGGTAGAAAGGAAGACCGTGTGTAATCTCGTTTACATGCCCTGTATAATTCTGTACACAGGCCGTCATCCTAACGTCCCACAGTTTTAGCTAATAACAAAAAAAACACACGCACAACAGAGGTTAAGTTGAAGCACATAAAATGACCAAATCTGAAACGACAATACGTGAAATAGAAAGAGAAGTCTAAATCCAAACATACAAAGACAATTGTTGGTTTTCACATGACGTCACTAAAATTCAAACTAAAAAACTATCGATCCTACCGAGATTTTACTTTCACGTTGCATTAAAGCAGCTGAAAACTAATTTTCATACAAATTTTGCCTTCAAAAGGGTTCTTGGTTTTGTGATAGAGTACGCTTGAATTTCTAAGCCTTTAAGTGACGCGGCATTTACATGACGGCCACGAGAGCTGTCATGTAGGTTAAAAAAATGACTTCTTTCAGGAAATTTTGCTATCTGAACAGTTCATGTATTAGAAAAAGTATTACTTTAATGTTTATGAGTTTGTCGAAGAATAAATTCACGCTTTTGTAGCTAAACTCGGTAACAGATGTTTCTGTTGGTTTCCGTCCGCCATGTTGGAGCCTCTCCATGTGAGCACCAGCATGTCGTCTCCATACAAATCTCTATAAGTTTGTGTAAAACATTTCTTCGGATGTCTCGTATACGAAATATTCCTCTGTCTTGAATCTTGGCGAAGGTCTTTGTATATGTACCTCCTTTCATTTCCCAGATTCTTAACTTTATCTATTGAATGGTTTTGAGTTTTTTTTTTGATCTACTTTGAATGGCGTGACACTGAAAACCGGCAATAACAATGTGATTTGCTTTGCAATGCTTAAATACAATTCCTATTTTAACAATAATTGCACAAGAAAACATACGTATAAAATACAGTTGAACTCCGTTGTACTGAAAAGCCCTTACCTCGTCCCTGGGGAAGGGCCTTAAATTGCCTCGAAATTCAAAGCTGCTGAATACAGACGCCTGTCGATGCGGACAACAGACACTTCCTTTCTTATCCAGTCAAACGATTCTCACAGAAGGGTAAAAATGCTAATACAGACGTTACAGTACCACTGATGAGGACAATGGGTCCCCTCTGTGTCCGAAAAAATGGGTCGGATTCTTTTCCTAATCTTTTTTCTATCAACAAAAGGCCTTACCGATCCGTCCAATCCACTAGAAAGCAGATAGTTTTCGTCTTGTAGTTCGCGCAAGCACGTGACAGACGCCATCTTTCCTTGGCTTAGACACATGACGGGCCAATTGGAGCCCGACAAACGAACATCACACGTGCGTATATATCCGTCACGTGATCCATTGTACAGGACTGGATTCTGGGGAAAAAAAACACAGGCTTAGTTTGTCGCCACCCCATCAATATGATGAGGAAATGAAGTTTGAGGGGTATTGCTTACTTGCCGCCTTCACAAAGGGCGCAAGAAGTCATTATTCACGATAAAAAATCATTTACCTGACTAAATCTATAATCATTATACAAATCCAACTACTATTTTAATTAGTAATGCCATTTTGATAAATGATACAAGTACTTCGCCTTGGATAAAGTTCAGACTTAAATTATATGTAATGACTGCAATCTTCTTCTATTTCAAGTTATGAAATATTCTTCTATGTCAAGTTATGAAATGGACTTTCTATTTGCTCGGGTTCACTAACAAAAAAACAAACGAACACGTATTTGATCGCGATTTGAAACACTTAAGACACAAATTTCCTACAAGCAGCCCCTTAAAACTTTAGAACCCAACTTAAACAACTTAAATCTTATAGTTACGGTTTGAATAGTTCTTACTCTCCGCGAGAACTCCTGTGCAAACACATCACTGTCACATCTCACATGTATCACACGCCGCCTTGTATTCACGTCCAAAGTGAGGGCGACCTTGCTTGCTCCTAAAAAGAATAGCAATTTACGAGAAGAACAAAAGAGGGGCGCTCCGTGCGCATTTCGTTTTCTACACTAGCCCACAATCTGCAAATCTATGTTTTTATTTTACTCGCTAGTCTGGCTTTGAATACACTTTCTGTACTCAGCGTTTCACACGGTTATACCTAGTACGTAGTCCGTATTCCGTGCCCTATACTGGGACATTCCTCGTTTCACACCCACCTGGTCCGTAGTCCGCAGTCCACAATTCATACTGACTGAGCAAGCTAGCCCGCCACTGAATTGCAGTGTATGGGGAATTCACTAATAAAAATGAATCTCGAAATTTAAACTAATTCAGCCACAAAGTAGTGTCCATAACATGAACAAAATGAAATTGAACCCTTAAGACATTAACGGAAGATTCGAATAAGACAAATGATTGATTATGCATATACAAATGAAAGCACGGAGGGGAAAAACTGAAAACTAAGAGTAAAACGAATTGCAATTTGGGTTTTTGAAAACTGTTCAGCCCAACAGTTCTCAAAAATCTCTCTCTATTGGGTCTAACTTAAAATATAATGCACGGGATACATGTATGTTTCTTACGAAACTGTTATCTTGTCATTTACAAGTAATGTTGTCGATTAATTCCATACTACAGAGTATAGACTTTTTTCCCCCTTTCGCTTTGCATTTTAGCTTAACTATGCTATAATACATATGATATAATGTTTACTGTTAAGTAGCTCCGTCATTAATTCGACTTAATTATTACACTTCTGTTAATAATTGGTTTATAATAAATAACAGAGGAGGCCTATTACTTTTAAGACAAGTGGTTTCCTTTGGGATTCCTCGCTATTAGCTTTTTACATTGAGAATTTTATAGTTTTGAAATGTGGCAAAGAAATAAACTTGAACTCGAAAGACTAACTTGAAGAGTGGACAGAACTGCCGTGACAAAGCAGCCCATTAAATGAACACCACTTACCGATACTGATTATATGACTGAACAGAGGATTTCTACTCCAGGCATTGGTCCACACTGAATTTCCATGAACAGTATTTCTTCCAACTATTCCTAAAATACCAAAAGTCAGAGATGTGTTAGTATAGGTAATAGCATGATTAGTAGTAATATTTGGCATAAATAACATGAGTGATATTTCAAAATTGTTATACGAAATTTGAGGCAATTTTGAAATATCATGAGTGGTATTTATGCCAAATATCACGTACAAATCATGCTATTATTTGTTTATACTACTACCCGCAAAAGGTTTGTAATTTTCACATGTAGGTATTTCAAATTAAGCTGAAATACCACTGCTGTAAGACAATCAAATTGCAGAAATTTCTCATTTAGTGGTATAAACACGTTTATAACACAGAGGACAAAAGTACTGAATGCTGATTGGTCAAGACAGAGAGCATTTTTTTGTAAATTTTCGCTCCACAGAAGGCAAAATTACCTAGCAACGGCTGGCAGGCGAAATTGTCGCGAAAACATTTCACCTCATTCGCGCTTTTATGGTTGATCCAAAATAAACACAAATGGTTTCCTAAGAAATTACGTAAGAACGTGCGCTTTAAGAAAAACAATAAATTTTGCCCTCTGTATCAGAAATTGCCCTCGTCTCTGCGCGACTCGGACAAAACCTGCAACTTCTGAAAACAAAAGTGATATTAATGCTTCCTTTTACGAGGAATCAGGACATTACCTATACTAACTGTGAAGTCAGCAGACTAAAAGACGGGAAAGAGAAGTTGAACGAGTTACCCTCTAAGAGTCACGTAATGGTAGGGAAGTTAAGCAACGACGAAGACGACGGCAAGGAGAATGGTAAAAGAGTGATAAGGTTAGATTTGCCATTCCTTTTTCACAACACAGTCGAGTGGCATTTACCCGCTCAAACACCTTTCCCATAAATTAAAACAAAATGTTGTTCGACCAAAGAGATTGACAAATAATTGACATCAAAAGCGTTATTTGCCCGCTGTGGTAAACTATTACCGTGTCATTTTAAAGGTGTGGCTACAAAAAATTGCAATAAAATTTTGCTTAAAAACATTTAAAGAAATTTTTAAAAACGTTAAAAGGATATGATGACGTTTTGACGTTCTTTGACCTCATTTTCAAGTCAAAAGAAAATAGCGTTTGAATGTTCTACAAGAAAAAAAGTCTATTATTCTATTGTTTCTTCTTGTATTTATAGAACATCCATACACTATTTTCTTCTTATATCTTTTGTTTTTACAGCCAAAAGTGGCAAAACATCGCTTCTAGTAATATTAAAAGGGACCTTACGATCCGACAACGGCGACGTCCATGAAAACGTAGCTGAAAAACAGACTTCGCATCATTTTAAAATTTTTCGCGATTATCCCAATTTGCCCTGTTACTTAAAACAAGGGGATTTTGGCTGGAGCTGAAGAGAGGGGAACGCGCTCAAGTTCGGACAGAGATGGTAGAATTTATCGCCTTGCCGTTCCCGTTCCCAAGTGAACTTACAATTTGGTCATTTCACGTCGTACTTGCGCAGTGAAGGCAAAGAAATGTACAAAAAAGCGTGATGCACGTGCAGAGTTGTTGTTTTGCTCATTAAACCTATTGTTTTTTGACGTTCCCGTTGCCGTCGTCGTCGTGGTTACGTAAAGTCCCTAAAAATAACAAGTATTATCACGCATTGATGGTAGATTCACGCCAAGTGAGACATGACCTCTTTATATGCTTGTTCTTAACACTCATCTTAACGTATTGAAAAAATTGACATTTACGTTGTACAGCACCATCCACTTGAAAAATCATGGTCTCTCCAGACATCGTACCGTGTCCAAGTAGAGATATTCTGGAAGGAGTAGTTAAGGAAACATGTGTGTCCTAATATACTATAGACTGCAAAACAGTCGGTTTTTTTCTCAAAATCAGTAAAGAAATCGGTAAAGCGTGGCGTAAGAGTCTTACGTGCGCGAAGCGAGCGAGCCTCACACACCCCCCAGTCTTGCTCTCTGTTTTCAGCCTCGTTCCAGACCTTGTTTGACTGCTCGCGCGTACTTGAAAACGCAAAAATACGGACTGTTTGGCAGTCTAAATATGCTAGTATAATGTATTTAATGGGCCTTGTTTTTGTTTTATTTACCGTATTTACTCAATTAAACGCCGCAGATGGAAACAAAATTACCAATAAACGCCTCCCTCGAATAACGCCGCACCCAATCGAAAGAATGCGGAAACTCGGAACAATTTGGTAATCTACACCATCCAGACATACACGATTAAACGAGAGATAATGGAACCACAACATCTTTTTGTTAAACGTTATATTTACAAATCATTTACCGTTTTCAGTGATTTACGAAATGTGATTATAAACGCCATTGCATTAACACCGCCATTGAATGAACGCCGAATTAGAAACGCAGAAAATTTAATAAACGCCGCGGTGTTTAATGTAGTAAATGTGGTGGTAGGATCACAGGTAGCCCAGCTTTTAAGTATGCATAACCTTAAATTTCACCTGGGCGCAAAACTTAGAATCGGTTAACAAGACTCTGTCATTACGAGCAAATATTAGTTATTGTCTTTTAAAATTATAGTTGTACATTTTTGTAAACTAAGGATACAAGTAGAGATTTTTTGAAGACTCGTGGGGACTCCACAATAGACCTGTTATTTTCTAGAATGATAGAAAGCAGGACAGGTTCAGTACTTGTATAAAAACTTTAAAAATGATTTTCTACAACATCGTTTATCAATAATACAATATATTTGCACAGTACCACAATAAAAAGGAGAATACAAGGAACAAAAGCAATAGAAAAACAAAAAAGTGCTTACGAAAAAAAAAAGAGTAAGAGAGATTCCCACCTGATTCTTTATCATAGCCATGTGATGCACAATCTCGAGATTATTCTTTCTGTCATTTGATAAATTATGAAATTGGGCTCTAAAACACACACACAAAAAAATCCCACCCTAAGCATCTGTTCTGACAGTAGCAGTGATAATGTCTACTTTTTGGTATGACAATGATGACAACAATGATGGTGATGATTACAATGATAATGACAATGAACCTTGTTACAATGATGATGATGATGATGATGATGATGACAATGATGATGATAATAATGATGTTAGCAACAACAATATCAATGATAAGAATGATAATGATGACAAAATTGATGATTATGATAATTTAATAATTATGTATGATAATTTACAAAGCATAAAATCTAGGGGGAGAAGCAAGAAAGCAGGACAAAGCATTTTTCGAACTATTGGCCACATCAATAATTTCATAGTGGAGGCATGTGTTGCCAAGCGGTTAACACCTTGAACTCCAGATCTGGAGGTCCGGGGTTCAAGCCTTGCCCATTGTGTTGTTTCCTTAGACAAGGAACTTTGCTTCACTTTGACTCTCTTCAACCAGGTGTATAAATGGGTATCAGCAACATACATGTACTACTGGGGGGTAACCCTTCGATGGACTAGCATCCTGCCCAGGGAGGAGTAGGAAACCAGGATAAGCTCCAACTGTTTGGGCCTTTGGCTCATGTGTGCCTTTACCTACCTTTACCTGTAATTTCATATGAAAGTGATGGGGTGATGTTGACGATGGTAATAAGAGCCAAGAGACAGTAAAAAGAGCTTTACGTATAATGCATTCGAATATTTGCACCAGTTTTTCAATGCATATTACATGATCCTTTAGTCCACAAAAAAGTAGTCCACTAAAAAGTCTATTATTTTTTAATTTTGGAAAAACTTACATTTGGTTTCCAGGTGGTACAGTCTCATATAATGTTAGAAGCCTTTTATGATTTGCATCTGGCTGTTCAAAAAATAAAAGATAATACAGTCAAACTCACTTGGCCATTTCCTCAGGGAGACTGAGCTTAACTAAAGGTTTCCCTGTGGACATGTTCATCAGGGAATTATTGAAACTCAGTCACTCATACCTGCAATAGTGATCTGGAAATGTTGTTGCTTTTCTGTGATATACCCCAATCAGGGATGAACTGTACTGTACAGGCGTGCACAATGTAGGTGAGTCTTCTTCAGCCTCACCTTATCATGCATGCTAGATTTACATTTAATAATTTAAGTTAAATTCTTACTTACTTGGTAAAAACAACTCTACTATTTTTTTAACTATTTAGTAATTTAAATAAATATATGATTGTTACAGTGGAAATTCCAATTTAAGCAATTGCAAATTAATGCCAAAACATATCTCAGTTGGTAGAGCACTGCAGTGCTAGACCATGGGTTTAAATCCTGTTGAAGTCCTGAAATTTTTTAGGGTTAATTTGCAATTGCTTAAATTACAGTTACCACTGCACCAATCATATCTTCATTTAATTTTTTATTTGCACAGTTCACATCATCTTCATTCTATATTCAGTAATTTATTCATTCAAATAAAATTCATTTATTTATTTGAGTTATTTATCTACTAAAATTGCAGGTAGAGCACTATGCAAAATTCCATTTCCAGTGTTGAAATGTTGAAATAAATAAATAATAAACAAACAAACAGCTTACCATTCATGACATTTTTATGTGGCTTTTGAGGTTTGTAATAGGGTGTTATTCCAAAACACTAATCACAAAATACTGCGTCCAATCATTGCAATCCATACAAAATATTGCAAATGCTATTGAGAAATAACCTTATTTACCAGCATTTGTCACACCCGGTATTTGAATGCCTGAATATTAAAAAAAATGTACAGCATGGCACTCACCTCTATTCTGAACACGGCATATCTATGCGCTGGAATGTCATTTCCAGAGACAGGGTCTAAGCTTAACCTCTGCTTCACTTTCAAGAGACGAATGAGCTTTTGTAACATATTTCTGAAGAAAGATGAAGGTAACAACTTAAAGGATAAATCATACACAGTCAACTCTTTCACTACAAAAAGTGGCTGCAAGTCGAGTTTACAAAATAATTTACTAGCCCAGTTACTGCATTTTCTCTGCAAATGTTGTTTGCTCATTGGATAACTCGTAATAAAAACATGGGTTGCTCCACCAGCTCTGGGCTGTTGAACAGCACATTTTTTGTACCCTGCCCTTCCCCCACCTGTCCTTTGTGTTTTATGGTTACAGAACAGTAGATGGGGGTTGGGTTATGATGTACTACCTTATCTTCAGTCATGTGCAAAAAAACATTCTTTAGGAGTAAGAAATTTCTTGTCCTTAAAATTCGCTTAAGGCTAAAAAGTGAACTATTTGCAGTCTAAAAATATCTATTTAAAAAATAAAAATCCGAACATTGTCAACACTAGGTCATCAGATCCTGGTGTCGAAAACATTTAGAGTTTTTTTTTTTTTTAATATATATTTTTAGCCTTGTCAATAAATTAACAAGAGATTTCTTGTTTACCAACATCAGCGAACAAATCACCCTTGGCTAACTTTATTCTTGGTCACAGAGGACGCTAAGTTACCTTTGTGGGGCTTGAGATGAACAGACATACTGCCTCTGTTGAAGGTGCTGAACAATGGACATCTTTGCTGGTCTCTGGAATCACAGGACAACCAGAAATTTCTTTATTGTAAACCTTTTCATCCCTAAAAAAGCCCCAAGTGACTTCTGATAAACTGACAAGTGTTGTGACTGCGATGAGTGTTGTGAATGGGACAAGTGTTATGTCTGTGACAAGTGTTATGACTGTGACTAGCGTTGTGACTGTAATGAGTGTCGTGACTGTAATGAGTGTTGTGACTACGACTGTAAAGAATGGAATAAATAATAACATTCTATTTTTTAATAGAGAATTTGATAAAACATCACAAGTCACTTAGGTCTATTATTCCATGCCACCAATATGGTAAATGATTAAACAGAAATACAACAATGTACTTACTTTATTGACCTTGATATTACTGGGAATTACTCTATTGTTACTTTGGTGTGAGACATCTTTCCACCCACCACACTGACATAAAACAAACTTCTTGCCAGGATGGTCTTTGGAAATTCTGAAGTATCTTTTCTTTGCTGGGTCATAATAGAACCCTGGAATTTGTAATCATAGTTAAGGAATAACAATTATGATAAAATTTAGATGGAAACTCTGAGGGGAGCAAGTGTTATTATTATTTCATTTTAAACGGTAGCTTGAAATGTACTTAACACATACATGCCATAGCAACTTGCATTGAGATTTTCAGAGACCCACTCTGTTCACAATCACTGCTTTTCTTGTAACATTAAGAACCTAAAATACATGTTGGCCAACAGATTGGTCAAATATCATATCAGCAGGCAGTAGGGTGTGGACAAACTTGGAACTGATTGAACAACTTCAGTGGTTCCCCTACCATTGCAACCATAACTCAATAGGACAGTGCAGTAAGAAATTTCCCATTTGTTTACCGAGAATAACAGATTAACTAAAGTAAGGCTGCACTCTAGCAGTGTCCCATGGCCCCTGGTACCTATTTTTAGTCCCTAGCATAGAAATAATGTTATTATATGCTGGGCACTCTGGATTTCATAAGTTCAAAGAACTGGGCTCCTCTCAATTTTTCTCAGAGCACAGCCTTGTAAATACCCTGTGCACAGTGGTTTCTTCAGGATGGACACTTAATACTATGAAGTGAGAGAAACCACTCCTGTTGCATCCGGCCTGGAGAAACCACTGCTTACAGGGTACCTTGTAAAGTATTGGCAGGTACAAATGCACTAAGGTCACATTCCACAGATCAAGATTACCAGTCAGTGCTTTATCAACAAATGACTTAAAAATTGTAGGCATAGCTGGCTTCACAGCTCAAATGATGATGACGAAGATAATAAAGTTCTGGCCCCAGTTGTTCAAAAGCTGGATAGCGAGCGCTATCCACTGAATAAATCACTATCCAGTGGATAAATATTAGGGAAACCAATTGCGCTATCCGGTGGATAGAGATTTATCTGGCTCCAGTTGTTTAAAAGTTGGATAGCGCTATCCACCGGATAAATCACTACCCAGCGGATAGCTTAATCGCCTTCCATAACACTTATCTGCTGGATAGTGATTTATCCGGTGGATAGCACTATCCAACGTTTGAACAACCAGGGCCAGGTGGATAGTGCTATCCGCCTTTTAAACAACTGGGGCCAGACCTTTAAATAATTTGTCTTGTGACACCCTGTGTCCTGTAAGCCAACCCATGGAATGATGTGACCTGTATTTTGTACTTGCATGATGCTAATGTATGGAGGCTACACAGAAATTTTAAAATTAATTTATCTTTAAGTAGTGAAAATCTTAGCATAAAGCAGCCAGACGAATTAATCAGAATACACCTCCACTGTGACTGGTAAAAAATTAACACAAAAGGATATCTCGAACAACAGAGCTTTGTTCTTCATTTTTCTTGGCTCTAGTTTCTTCGCGACAACTGCCTTTAGTCTCTAAACAGGATAAATTCGAGCTACTTGCTTCCGCGCGAGATTGCTGAATACGAGAAAGTGATTCTCTTGACTCCCTGTCCGCATTCATCATTTCGATATTCAGTTTAAAAGCTTTCGATCTCCCATGAGATGGATTTCTCATTTTTCTTCGTGAGGCAGCAAACTTTCTTCCCCTATGGTTTTCTTGCTTTTCGACAAATTCGTCATATTTTTTCTTGTGAAACTCTTTTCGGCTCATTTCTGTCGCTGTTATTTCAATCTTCTATTTTCTGTTGCTTAGCCCTTGAGGACGGAAGTCAATACCCGTCTTTTTCATCACTTATCCCGAAGATATTCTTATTATTGCTCCACTCATCAGTCTTCCATGCGTCCGCCATTTTTTCCGGCGACCTCTCTTCCTTCCTCGTCCCAATGCTTTCTCTGCATTAAAAAAATACCCCACCACTCCCCAGTGATTTTTTTCAGTTTTGTTATTGCGTGATTGCGTGACTTCTCTGAGGTCGTGCAAGTGTTTACCTTGGCAACCAAATGACGTTCGAGCGAAATTTACATGTTTCCTCCCATAATTTGCCTTTCTGATGATCAAGCAAGTCTATAAGCTGGATATATGACAGTTCCGTGAAATACAACGACAATGAAGTGCTTTGAATTTTCGCGATAACAGGCGCTAGATATGCGAAGGGGGTTATCCAGCTGGCTACCAGCATTGTTCAATATTTACAGCTAAAGTCACGTAATCTGATGATATTCGATCATTACACCAAAATGTTGTTTCCAATTTTGCTGAGGGACCACCGTTAATGAAAGAAACTAAGCAACAAGACAGGATTTGTAACGGGAGATATCCCTTCATCCACAGCTAACGTTCTTCTTGAACGAGACATATGCATGTCAGAGAACACCGTACGACTTGGCAGATACGAATTGCTAAAGTACTCTTTGGGATCTCTTTTAAGTTGTACCGACGTAGCAACGGACATATTGACGGCCACAACCTACTTTCAGCAGCAACACTATGTCTGGTTCGGTTTTTGCCTTCTTTTTGCATTACTACCATCATTTCTACTAACACTGGCTTACTTAATACAAAGACTAGACAGACGAGAAACATTTTGCACAGTGCTGAAACGGCTTTTGTTCTTTACCAACCCATGCGGATCGGGGATTTTAAAGATCAAGCTGCTACTTGTTTGTTTACGTAACTATGATCAAGTTTATAACTCCGAGGGATTCCTCGTCGACGATGAGCAAATCCGGCAGGATTATAGAGCGGAGAAAGTTTACCATTACGTAGAAGGACTGTTGGAAAACATGCCTCAGATAATTCTACAGCTTTATGTTACAGTAGTCCAGGATGAAACGATCTCAGTTTTACAGATCTTTTCTATTTCCGCCACTTTTTTAAACCTAGTTTGGGTTCTCACGTTGTTCGAATACAGTAGCTTTGTTAAGGAAGCAACAATCAGTCATTTTGTCGCCATCATCCTTTATAACACCTGCCTGGTCGCTGCCCGTGGGCTGTCGATTGTATTCTTTCTGGTGGCTTTTAAGTGGATTACCTCAGCTGTGCTAGCGTTTCATGGATTTGTTTGCATATCTATCTACTTGTACAGAAATCACGAATACTTCACCGAGAACGAAGTATGGTGGATAGCCTTTCTCCTAATGCCATGTTATATATTTGTCTACCTCGGATTCAAAGTGAAAGAACTAAACTCCAAGTTGTTCGACATAAAACTAGGCAGGTCGATTATGTCTTCAGGTCTTTTTTACACGTGTTTCATAGCTGAAAATGTTTTCATGATTGCGATGTTTTTCACTTGGTCAAAAACAAATCATCTACAGTGGAGACGGTGGATTACCAATATCATCACTGCATCTGTCGTATTGTTGTCCTTTATCGGCACACTTATACATCTGATTTTTACTCATAGATTTTTTAGCAAACCGCGTAGGGTAATGCCGACTTATGCAGCGGAAAGTGTAGAGGTATATCAAGATGGAACTATCCAGTCACGATCAGATTTAACGCCGAGCGACCTTGGAAAAGGCTTTTCACTCCAGGAATAAATCATGTAGGAACCAGTCAAGGGCGTATGCATTTGCCGTCTTCAGACCAGGTTGATTTTATCCTGGGATCAGGCGCGCCCTAGACTGTGTACACAGGCTAGCGCGCCCTAGCCTGTTCACAGACCCTCTATTTTCTCTTAATAAATCTCCCGCGGTTTATATTTTGTTACGCGCGCTCGACGGATCTTGCGGACCGCCAGCGCAAAGGGGTAGGGGTGGGGGATTGAAAAAAGGAAAAGAAAAATAAAACAAAGTCTGTTTGCAGGCTAGGCGCGCCCTAACTTTATTCTTTTCACTCAAAAAATTAAAATTCCGGCCGGGGTAAGGCGAAAGAGAGAATGAATCAAAGCTGTTAAAATTGGGCTTGATCTCAGGTCAGGTACATTTCGTTAGTTTCCCTACGTCGAAAAATCTTGGTCCACCAAAAAGTGCTGGAGGGAGAGCTCTATGTCGATGCTTTTTCACGCGTTAACTTTGAGGGAAAAAAAAAAACGGTCATTTCGCTACCCTGTTTAAGACAAGAGCATGCAGAGGTAAGTAATTTTTAAAAGAACATCATGGATTTTTTGGAAAACTGAATCGTTGCTACTCGGACTAAAAAAAAACCTGTTCAGAGACCCGGATGTGGCAAATTAAAGTCAACTGATGTCGGTAGTTTCGCTGTCTTGAAAGTTGTCCAAGCTAAGGGAATAATGAAGAACACAACCTAACCCTTGGGCTAACAAGATCTTGCAGCCCACACCACAACCAATCTTCTACTCTTGGGTCCTTTTCCGGATGTAGGTTAAATACTGACCGTTTTCGTCACGAGTGTCGAATTCGTAAGCTTCTAGGAAGGGGCCGGGGGCATGCACCCCCGTGAAATTGTTCTGGATTTTAACTCCCTTAAGTCACCTTTCCTGGGGTTTCTTAGTCATTCAGTCAAGATATGGGCCAGACTTTAGCTTGGAAAGCTTTTTTCATGAAAAATATATTTATCTATGAAAACTCTGACTGATTTTCGTAAAACGGTGGAAACTGCGGTGTGGCATGAGTCAAGCCTGGTACCGGACAAATTGTTGGTACTTTGTTAAAGTAGAGTTTCAAGTCGTTTTCGACCGTCCTTAATTACTAGCTATTAAACGTTAAAATCTAGATGGAAATACGATTGCATATCTTACACGGCATGCACTTTATAATGTATCACGATGATCATCCTATTCGAAAACGTTACAGTTCATTTTCGTCCGCCCACAAGAACACGAAGACGATAGCCGAGCGTTTACAAAAATGTCCACTGACTGACCTGACTGTGAAGAGCGTTTTTGAAAAAATGCGTTTACAGATGCCCCCTCCCCTAAAAAAACGGGGAAAGAAACTCTCTCTCCCCGATCTTTTCTGAGGGGAGGGGTGCGTCTGTATCGGTGACCGATGTTTTCACTGGATACATGCTGTGGAAGGTAGGTCAAATCGGAGAAAAAACATCCCTTTACAAACAAAAGCGTATACGTGAGGAAGGGGCCGAAAATATGCGCCTTTATTGTTTGCTTTGAATAACACCAACTCTCATAGCTCAATTGTTTGTTTTCTGCCGGCTCTTTCACAGCTAAAATTAGCATAAATACATTCAACGGAGAACTTTTCAGTCTCGAAGTTTACTGTTTATGCTGTGTTTTATGGCTTGTACCAGACTCGAACGGAGCTTCATTCCACTATCTTCGTTATTTGCAGATTAACTAACTACTTGGTTCTATATGATCAGGCAGATCAATGAAACTGTTGCCATTGTACGGTTTTATAAAAACACTGGATAAACTGAATTAATAAAGTGCTTACACAGAAAAGAGGGCACTTAATCTTCGCAGCTAACTGATTAGCTTGTGAGTTCTGAAAAGGAATCTGAGAAAAACTTGGGCTTGACTGGGAAATAAGCCCTGGTACTTTGCGATGATGTCTCTTGTTGATGTTTTTAGTATCAAAACCAATTTACTAAACAAGGCAAGGAGTCGCACTTCGGCCTCTACCATTAAGTGAACGGTCCGTTTGGAAAGTTCTTGATCGGCCTGTATCCTGCACATAGACGACAGTACAAGTGTAAATACGTTTTCTTCTTTGTCCAAAAGTGCGCTTAAAGACGTTACGTTTTGTCATTCAACTTGAAAATAATGTCTATTTCATAGGTTTACTTGTCTTTTATACGACGGAAACTATGAGTAAATTTGTTGTTTTGTTATTGATTTAAAGATATAAGCACTATTGTTGTCTAAACCAATGGTTTAGGCAATCACTGTGTTTCTCAACACGGCAATGATTTGTTTAATCGGTGAAATTAAAGCCACTGAATTTTCCTTGCTATTACATAAAAATTATGTTCACTTGGCTCATTTTCAAGCTGGCGTTGACTTTTCACTTTGAATATTCAATAAGTAGTCTCTCTTCCTGATTGGTTGAGACCAAGAAATCAGCCCCTTTCTTATTGGCCGAAAACGTTTCCATTGTTTTATTTCCTATAAATTTGAGGTACTACCCGGATGGTTGGGCGGAACCGTAACACCATCATACCATAAACAACTCTAGCTCCGATCCTTCTGACAGTTCCGTATTTTCCGTAGTTACGTAGGAGCCTACGTCACCCTCATACACTTCATTCATTTCATTCAGTTCATTTATTTCATTCGATTCTTCCAATTTATTCCATTCTATTTATGGTCGTTCAACTCATTTGTTTCAGTAACTACTTTCTTACTCATTCACTCATTCACTCATTCACTCATTCACTCATTCACTCATTCACTCATTCACTCATTCACTCATTCACTCATTCACTCATTCACTCATTCACTCATTCATTCATTCATTCATTCGGAAACAATAGCCGGTTCAACGTAATAGAAAGGCGCGTTACATTTATTTAAGCCATTCGAGACATTGTACCAATTCAATCAAGTGTAATCTCGTTCACATAATTGCAAGTCCGTTCTCATTAAAATGGCAATGAACTCAGTGATATGTGGTTGTTCCTTGGGTGTATTTTTTCCCCGGGTTTATCAACACACACATATTTAATACGGCCAATAACTCTGTCTTATCTTAATTAATCTACCATTTAAGGCAATTAGCTTTAATTTAATTCTGTGAACTTTTGAGCACTTAGATAGTAGCGTGAAATCAAATGAATCGATCAATCAATGTAACTCAGACTACTAAACAGATTCTTTATCCTCAGAATGGGTGTTTCAAGGCTCTCGCTTCAGGACCGTTTTGTTTGACCGCTTCTGCATGCGTTCTTGTCCTACGCAAAACAACTGGACAAACACCCCTTGGCTTTTAAAAAATAAAGTTAAGATTTGAAATTCACCCG